AGAATATATTACAATTATTGATATTCATAGTATGTAAAATATTAATTGAAACAGAGAGCAGGAAATATGCCATTGAAATGTTAACATACGATTTAAAGAGAAATAAAACAGAAATATGTACATAATGTGTAATATATTGTTTCAAAAATATAAATAGATAATTCAACAACATGTTAAATCAAATTTATTTTTATTGAAAACTATTTGTCAAACTCCTGTATGAACTTCAACAAACAATGAATTTAAATTGACAGCTTAAATCGGTTGGTAACTAATACCCAATGCAGAAAAGACTTGTGATGAATATAAATTGTTTCAATTCAAATCGATTTAAAATAGAAAGTGAAATATATCACATAAAATAAACTGAAAATACACTGTTCTTTTTCAAAGAAAGATATTCAGATTTCTAATATCTTTATTTATACTGAGCTTCCATTAGGTTGGCTAAAATAAGAATATGTCATATTAAGTATCTCGCCCCCATTTCCTTTACATAAAACCAAATTATCTTATTACTCAATATTAATGTGGTGGGAAATAAACTCAAAAAGTAAAACATTGTAAATTACACATGGTTTTATTTTCAACAAATTATATTATATATTCAATTGAAATTTCTCAACACCATACACCAGTTCTTAATGAATTAATTTTAATTTCCGCATCTTTTAATTTAGGTTGCTCGGCCAGCATCTCCTTTGTTATAAGTTGCTAAAGCAGACCACACATGATCAGTCATGAATGACAGCCACAAGAATTATTACAATCATGATGGATCCTACACATATCAATCAGATCAGACTGACCTAGTTTTAGCTCTGTTGATGTTGAGATAACGGGCAATGTGGAGCTGGCACATTGTCTATTAATGTGTTTAATTAAAAAAGGTTATTTGGGCTATTATCATTTATAGCATTGGACATCAAGAGAAAAGTAGAGCTATAATGATGACTTCTTGATGCTCGAAAATTGGTTTGACAATAAAGTCTGATAAGTTCAACTATTCAAAAAATTTAAAGGAAAATATTGCGTAAATAATAAATATACTGGGGAAAACAAATATCACACAAAACAGTTGAAGATTAATTTTTTCAATGAGTAAAATGTGTGGTTTTCTTTTTTTGTTTTTTTAAAATGAAATTCATTGCCCACTTAATTTTCAAAAAAAATATTTGAAGATTGTTTATAAAAAAATAAACTAAGGGTAGTAAAAACTGTTCATTTTAAATGAAAATCAGGAATGTTCATTAGTTAAACAGCCTAAGTAAACTAATTTTTATCTCAGTATTCCCTCCGCTGATTGAATCTTTGATTTCAGAATGTTTGTCCCGTCCATCAGCACATCAATCTTACATGATCAAACAGAGTGTCAATGATGCTTCCGAATGACAATCCGACTGATCCTGTAGGTCCGCTTAAGGGAAAGTTCCAAGTTGTGCGGTACAGTGTTTGTAACAATTGAAGGCGCTAAATACAGCAACTTGAAAAAAATTGCTAGAGAAAAATTGTCACAGATTGTTATTCGTTTTAGCATTAAACATGTCTGTTTATTGCTGAATCGAAGCTGGGTATAAATATTATGTTTTTTAATTTTATTTTCCCGAGTGATTAAGCTCTATCTTTAAGCAATTATTTAAAAAAAAAAAAAATTGAGAAAAATGCTATCAAATTAAATTTAACAAAAAAATGCCAAAGCAAAAGAGATGTCCGACAAAGTTTACAAAAAAACTGAATACGGATCACGTGACTTACTGAGCTGCTGAACGGCCATGGAAAATTACTAATAAAAAATACACAATATAGAAATATGACGAAGAGAGAAAAACTTGATTAAAAAATAAAAATTAAATAGCGGGAGAAAAACCTAAACAACAAACACGTAATAATGCATCATTGAGTAATGCCGTCAGTCTGAGGATAAGCATCGTAGATTTCTGTATTTCTTTCTTTCACTTTTCTTCATCTATTTTCATGTCAAGGCTATATCTTTTTTTTTTTCTTATTACTCTATCATAATCTTAATGCCAAACACTTTATTCGTAACGATACATGGTTTCCTGATAAGGATTCTTTAAAATCCTGTAGGTAGACCACAGTCAGCCTGAGGTGATACGCTCAAACGATGTCAAATATACCATCTTGAATTGATTTTCTAAACATTTTCATCCTTTATATATTCTTTTGTAAACAAGTGTACTAATTCTTAAGTTGATTGTTATTTCAATAACGAAAGGCAGAATGCAAATTAAAATATTAATACAGTATTTTTTTTTTTTTTTTTTTTTTGTCACGCCTTTTAGCTATATTATAGTATAATCACTTCATCAGTCCGGGTAATACAGAAACAAAAATTTTGATATTTTTAATATATAAAAAAATATTCAGGTATTACTACTACACTCTCAGTAATAGACCCTTAAACTTTTAGTAAGTGAGAGAACTACAATCCAAGATTCTTCTGGAGAAAACAAATAGGTGATGAGTCAATACAATAATTGACTAAATGAGCATTAGTGTAAGTTCAGGGATAACTGTGTCTTACTACCTAAATATTAAACTGGAGACCCTAACTATTAAGCCTCGTCTACCCGCTGTCGTTCAACTACGTAATGCGAAATATACTAGTATAATATATTATTTTTTATTATCCTGGGACTTTAATTTATAGATACAGAAAAAATGCCTGTGTGGCCATACATTAAATTAAACATTTACAATTCTCATTAAAATTAAAATATTGGAAGAAAAATAAAACAAAAACACTAAAAACATACAGATATATATATATATATATTATATATATATAATAACATAAGTAAACAAAATCTTTTCTGGTGGAACTTAAAAATTTCTCTTATCTACTTTTTATGATCAATCGGGTTGGGAAAGAAGTAGGTGCTTAAAAAGGAAACTGATTGTGCATGTCGGATATCGGTATCCCAGAAGGAGACGGCTTGAATTATAAAGGATTTTTCAAACGCAGCAGTTCGGTGAAGAGGTGGATAGAGGTCAGAAGTACGGGATCTAGTGGGAAGGGATCGAATGCAATATTTAAATTGTAGGCTGTGAAAAATATAGGTCGCTGAGTTCTGATGGTTTGGTATAGAAAGGTAGCAAGGAAGTACATACGGCGGTTGGATAGAGCCACTTCAACTTGGTGTAATACTGGGTTATATGCGTATCTCTTGAGATTCCGAAAATAAAACGTATTGCGCAATTCATGAGGCGTTTAAGTTTGGCCTCGAATTCTCCCGAGAGTCCACCGTACACCAGACAGCCATAGTCCAAGTGGGGGAACACGAGGGAGGAAACCAGGAGTTGGCGGGATTTATATTATTGAACATTTTCATCTTTTATATATTCTTATTTAAAAAAGTGCACTAATTCTTATGTTGATTGTTATTTCAATAACAAAAGGTGGAATGCACATTAAAATTAATTAATTTTAATGCAACGTGAGTTTTACACTATATTATAATGTAATATAGGATTATAATCCTATATAACATCTCATCAATCCGTCATTTTTACTTTTACTTACCTATATATGATATATATAGTACGGGAAAGTATTGCGATCGTGAAAATTTTCGAATCTCATCTCACAAAATGGTCTGAGTGTCTGTATGTTAACAGCCTAGCTCAAAAAATCGAAAATTTGTAAGAAACTTTTTAAGATATATGCACGAGATGTCACAGCAACTTTTTCCTGGATATCGGGTAACCGGGAGTGAGTGTATATGAACAACGTTACCCATTGTTACGATTTTCTCAAAAACGGCTCTAACGATTTTCATTAAACTTGGTATATCTGTGTATTATTAAGTGATCTTTAAGATCAGCTAGGTCTTATCCACATTGGTGTCACCTTATAGGGCTTAAATGACTAATGTTCAATATGTCTTCTTCTAAAGTACCTTAAATTTGGTTTATTTAAAAAAAATAACTGTCTGTAATCATCATTAAAAATTAAAACTGGCTGAATATAACTTTTGGAAGAATTTGTTAATTGATTAAAAGAGAAAAAATTTGTTTTTAGATTGCAAATGAATTTCCAGAAATAATAGATTTGATGTATACATATAACATATTGTTGGAAAGCTGAGAATTTCAGGAAAGACAATATCCAACATATAAAGTCGTAGATGTGATAATGAAGAGGGACAAAAAATTATAAAGAATAATTTCTGAAAACTAATATTATTTAAGGGCAACCGCGTGTTTTCTAGGAAATTATACGAAATTCCTTAACTAAATATAAACATTTTAAATTATTTTTAAGTGTGAAAAAAATGCTATAAAACCCACCAAATCAAGGAAATAAAATTGTTAAAAAAGATATTTCATTGTACTTGTGTGAAATAAGAAGTGAAATATAATGCTATTTCATGGATAGGTAAAACATATGTTTATAACCTTAAATAAATTGATTGTAGTTTAATAAGTCTAGATCCGATATTATATTTAAATAATTAGGTATATTTTACAAAAAAAAAATCTATTTATTTAATCACATTATACACTTACAATCAGTGTTAGGACTTTCGACTTATCGATGCCGTATTTAAATACAAGTAACTTTTACTTTTAGTAAATTTTCCATGGGTAAATATAAGAATACATTTAAAAAGTGATAAGGTTTAATTCCTATAATTTTTATTTAGCAGTATGACCTTACTTATTCATAATTTAATACATGTACTTTCAAATAGAGCTCAGAGACTGGAGTTATACGATTCAAATAGACTGATACAGTTATAAGGTTTTTATTGCCTACAATCGATATAATAAATAGGGTTTATGTTATTTTGGTGGTCTTAATGAGTTTTTGTATTGATGGATATGACCAAAATTCAAAGATATATTGTTCAAGGTTTAGCTCCATTAAAAATGTGCTTCAAAAACTTCTTCTAATAGCCCAATTTCGCCAGACAAGAATTACTTCTCGAAGTAGAGCAGTAAATGAAAGTTGTGTATTGCGCGCACGAGATTTTTTTTTTTTTAAATACAGATGTTTTACAATTTTAAGGAAAATCAAACAATAACTGTAGCATTTTGTTCTATAAAACAATTATTGAAGCCAGCTGAAGACGTTACTACCCCACGTGGAGCAATTTTCCGAAAAGGTCACCGAACCCTGATAGGGATAATAAGGCCATGAAGCCTTCCTCTTGGACGAACAGGCAGAAGTGTCCTGAAGGAGGCGGCGCAGGCTCCAGGCACAGTCTGGGGCGATCATGGAGGCTGCACGCATGAGGCTGGAGACCATCCTTCTGGATGCCCAGGCTGCTGGGCTCTCCAGGTAAACCTTCACGTTTTAAAGCCATAATTATCGAAGGAATATAATCAGTTAATTAATATAAATTAAAAAAAAATTTCAAATATTATAAATATCTAAAGAGATCCAGAAAATTAAATATTCCAAAAAGGATAAAAAAATTTAAAAAATGTCTTACTTTTCAAATACTGGACTGAAATAAACACTAATTCTTGACTTCTTATTTCTTAGAAATGCTGTCTTTGATATCGGGTACTTTGATTTTAAATTAGACCCCTTCACAATCCATGGAAACATATTTCAAACATCCAAGCGTACTATAAAAGTCTTCTTTAAGAAAAAAAATATATTTCTTTAACTGCTACGTATTTGTACCTAGTTATTTTTTAGACTTAAAAAATTGGTAAGAACAAAAAACTTTTCTTTTCTCCGGAAATTATCATTAAATAAAACAGCAAATAAAACATTATATGTTGTTATATAATTGAACAAAGCGTTTGTGATAATATAAAAAGTGCTGCAAATCAATGAAGGACTTGTACATGATTGATTTACAATAAAATTATAATTCTTCTGTTCCGTTTTAGATCATTACCCGTTAATGCAGTACTGACGATTTATCATTTCTCTTTCATGATATTAAAATGGGAACCATCACTAATTCACAGTAATTTCCGAAAATAATCATTTTTCAATCAACAACCAGAAATGGATTCCTGTCGACCTGTCGAACACTAAAAGGAATACAAAAATAATTTACGGAGGTTTATGATAGTTCATCTACCACACTAACAAAGTCAGCTGTAATGCGCTAGCTTTGGAATACAATTCTTCGTTGCATATAAAAAATTCTTAGTATTTCTTTTTTAAATTTATTATATCTAAAAAAAATTTTTTTTATTGGGTTTTATACAACTTAAAGAGTCATATCCCCAACACCAAATCTAAAAATAATAAGTATTAATATTGGTAAAGCATAGACGATTCAAGCAAAAAACTACCAATTTTTCATCAACATTTCAACTTTCTTTACAAAATCGAATATTATGCATTTATATTTTCTTTAAAAGATTTTAACCCAGATTTTCAAGTACATTAAGCTTCATAACAATCGACCTTTATGTATGTTTATATTTTAGGTGAAATTATATTTTAATGAATAAATAAATGCTACATTTTTCATAATCCAATTATGGACTGAATAGAATGAGCAGTATTATCTAGATGGGGTCTTGTTTAGATTTGGCCCGCAAGTTATTCTATCTAGTAACAGTTACTTATTGGTAAATTAAAAAATACGGGTTAAAGAAACGTATGATTTATTTAATAGGAACTTTTTATACATAACCAAAAACATTAACATACTTTTAATGAGTTACTCCTGGTACCTCTGGAGGCCAAAATTCTACTAAGTCCTTAAGGATTTTATCAAAAACGTCTTCATTTGAGTTTCTCTGCCTCCACATGAACTCACATAAATACGAGTCTAACATAGAGCGATGAGTCCCACATTCTTTTTTGTTTCTCCTTCGCCCACATAAACTCAACTCTTTGAGTGTGAGCACCAAGTCTCTTGGTGGACGACATTTTTGGAGTGATTTACAGAACATTGACTGTAATCCTTTCCAATCAATCCTTCTATCCCACTGTAGGACTTCCACAGGTCAGACATTATACTAGAACCCGGTCTAATTGATGTTCTTATGCACTCCTCCTGAGTTTCTCTTCTCCTATCCACTGCGTACAAAAAAACACTCTTTAGTTTCACAGATCCCGCCGTCGTGTACTCCTGTGTCCATGAGTAAATGAATAAAAGAGCTTTACTCAACGGTAACCTGCTGTCACATAGCCACGTACCCCTATACATGCCACATTCATACCGGCATTATCTTTTGTTGTACCTATATTTTTTCCTATCTTCGTAAAATTTCATAATGTGACCTTTTTTACAATAGCTTTCCTTAGGTAGAATTCCTCTTTCTTCAAAGAAAATCATGGCTCGTTCCTCTTCTTTGCATAAATAGTAAACTTCAAAAATATTCATCATAACCTCAATTACATAAACAAACCAAATTAAAAAATATTTAAACATGCGATTTTATTTCTATATCAATGGTATCAAGTTTAACAACTGTTACTAAATATCATTAATAAATCAGTGGCGGGCCTAATCTAAACAAGACCCACTAGATAGCTTGAAAATGGCATCATAGCCGAAACGTAGCCATTGTAGAGGAGAAATAGAAATAAATGTGGTGAAAAATACAGACTTTATTTATATTGTAATCCACCTTTCATTTCCCATCCAACCACTCCAAAAACTAACTACTAGAAACATTTAACGAACATTGAATCATATTTTTAATTTATCCTTTATAAATGGACATAATAAACTCGATGTTATTATTATTATTTTTTATTAAATCATGAGAAAGCATTCATAGAACTCTGGCAATTCTAGCCCAGGGGTGACCAAAAGGGGGTTTCATGGGGCAAGTCATCATGATTTTCGAGGAGGGCACATTTTGAGTGGATTGGAAATTTTGAGGGGGGCACTTTTCGACGGGTTTGTGATTTTTCAGAGTGAAAATTCCAATTCAGGGAAAAAAGGGGAAATATGGACTAGAAAACCACACCTATGTATATGATCAACAAATCTACTTTTACTGGGACAGTTTTTAAAAAGAGGAGAGCAATAAAATTGCTTATAGTATCATCTGAGAATAATATTCCAATATATAATAATATAATAGAGAATATAATAATAGTAAACTAGTCTTTATTTTTAGATATTAATAAATTTTATTTTTATATAAAACTTATGACACTGCTAATATCCACTGTACACAAAAAAAAAAGAAATTTTATGATTTATAGAAAAGTTATCTTTCTCTAAAAACAATATTCAGTACACTCTAATACTTCAATTCCTGAATTGAGGCTTGATATCACAGGAATGAAATCTAAATTCAATAATAAATACATTGTCCTCGTGTATAATTTTTTTTTTTCTTTTGCGCAACCAGTTTTGGTCTTTAATCAGACCTTCATCAGGCTAGATAAAATAAATGTGAAGTACTTTACAGGTGTTACTTTATGTGAAGAAACAGGACTTAAATTTCATAAAATAAGTCCGAAAATACTTAAAAGTGCTTCTTTCATTCCTAGAATTTCTGGATTGGAACCGCCTATTTTATTACTATCAAAATGAAGGACATTGTAAAACAAAATAAAATTTTAAAATCATTTGCAATTCCTTTTATTTTGCAAAAAAACTGACTCAAAAACTAATTGGGCCCACAATTTTATGAAAACCTATCTTTCATCATCATCGTCATCATCATGGATGGCTTTACAACTACTGCAGAGTCAAGGCCTCCCGGCTAGAAGCTATCTTTACAACTTTTAAAAATTAAATTTAAAACCTAGCATTAAATAGATATGTTGTGGACAACAAAAACTGCGTCTACTAAAATGGGTTTACTAAGAATGCAAATCATAATGTTAATGAATGGCAGAAAACTGAAGGTCCGATGAAAAAATAACATGCTTCTATTAATAGAGCAACATTCACTCAATACCTCAAGATAGTTCTAATTTTTTAAATATTGTAACATTCTCTTTGTTTTTGTTTAGTTTTTTAGAATTAAAAATTTAATATCTTATGCTTGTAGAAAAAAAACAAATGATTCCGTAGTTATTTTATATTTTTTCACTCAATTAAAGTTTTAAAAAATACTACTACAATTCAACATTTTTACTTTCACTTACGTATATATGTAATATATAGTAAGGGTAAGTATTGCGATCGAGAAAATTTTTGAATCTGAGTTTTCAACAGAAATACACGTTTTGAGGTACCCTGAGTCGAAATGACCAAGTCCCGAAAAATGGTCTGTGTGTCTCTGTAGTCTGTGTGTCTGTGTAGTCTGTATGTCTGTGTGTCTGTGTGTTTGTATGTTAGCAGTCTAGCTCAAAAACGAAAAGTCTTACGAAACTGATATTACGTATTTAAGATAGGTATATGCCTTAGATGTGACAGCAACTTTTTCCTCAAAATTGGCTAACCGGAAGTGCCACTTTATATCAACGCTGAAACACATTTTTTTATACTCAAATCTGCATCATATCAATGCAAAGAGCAGTGAAAAAATATTGGTACACCCTAAAGTGAAAATATGCAGGAACCTGTCACTGAACTTATATTATTTCTTACTGAATGATATGAAAAATTGTTGGAATTGTTTAATTAAATCAAATAGATTTTTTTTTTTAAACATTTCTTGGGTAATTATTAAATTAAGTTAGTATCGAACTTGTTGCGCTTACATTAGCAAAAATAAATTTAGATCAGAGGCTGTGAGATTGGCTGCTGCCAGAAGACCTAAGCACTGGCGAGTGAAGATATGCCGTATAGTCTTGTTAATTATGGCATTGGCAATAGTGGTAAAGGCGAAACTCTATACCATTGAAGGGATTACAACTGCTTGGATGTGGTACTATGGCAGACATCCCACTGCAGATAAGGTATGTCTTAAACATTTTTTTAAAGAACTATTAATTTTATAGTGTAATTTTTAATTACATATAATATTCTTTTAATAAAAAAATAATTATTATTAATTTAATCAAACCAAAATATTTTCTCATTAAAGTAAAACTCTATTTAAATTATACTATACCATACTGCAAAAACCTGTAAGTGCAAAACACAAATATATACATATATATATATATACATACATATATATAAGACAAAAATAACCGCTTATTCTCATTATGTGAAGTAGATTTTCCTAGATTTTCGCTCAACTTTTATTGCATGCTTAAGAAAAAGATGTAATGTTCTAAATAATGTTTTTAGTTTGTTTTTATAAATATATCCGAGGCCAAGATTAGCTGGGAAAGTTCAAAACCGCGTATTCTAATTAAAATGTACTTACAGGCTTTTGCTGTATGGCTGTCAATATGTAGATTTCTTATTTTAAAAGGATTAATAAAATTATCATAAAAAAATAAATAACAGGAATATTTTATCATAAAAACATATTTGAGTACATTCTGTTTCTGTTTATTTTAAATTATTATTTATAAGACTTAAAATGTTTCTATTGTCCTTAGTGTGCAGTATGGATGCCTGATGTTGCATACCATGTTTTTCGACCACCAGTAGATTGTACTGTATGTCGTGATGTTCATCAGGTAGAAAGGGTTTACAATATTACACCTGAAGAATTTGAAACCAAGTAGAATTATTTCTTTTTAAATTCATTATCAGTTTATATTTTTAATATCTGTAATAACCATAAAAAATCATTTTTTAGGTATGCTTTTTCAGGACGTCCTGTAATTGTAAGCGATGCCATGAAAAACTGGACAGCACCTTACATCTTTAGCTTTGGATTCTTTCGAGAGCTATATGCTGGAAGTAAGGCACAAGACAGATGCCAGTTCTTTGCATACAAGACCAACTTCAGTTTCCTCTGGGAAGTATTTGAAATGCCGAAAGAGCGAGCTGAATTACATAATGGTCAGGAACCATGGTATGTCGGCTGGTAAGTAAGCTCATAAAATTTAAATAAAATAATGAGTAGTAAAGTCCTGCATGGTAGAGATCATAATCTATTGCTATAGGAAAGGGATAGCTGTGATTAACAACTGTGTAATCTATTTAAACAATCAATTTTAGGAGTAATTGTGATGAAGAAGTAGGGCAAATCATAAGAGATCACTATAGCAAACCTTACTTTCTTCCCAAAAACTCAGAGAACAAAAATACAGACTGGATATTTATGGGCAGCAAAGGATTTGGTGCACATATGCATGTAAGTTAAAAGAATTGTTCAAAAGCTGATATACCGTTTTAAAATTAGAATCTAAAGGATGTGATTTATTTGGAAGGTCGACAATGTTAATAACCCTTCTTGGCAAGCACAACTTGCAGGGGCAAAGAATTGGACATTACTACCGCCTCCTGAGTGTATATATGAGTGTTTGAGCCATCAAGTGACAATTAATCAAGGAGAAATATGTGAGTTTTTTTTAAAATAAAAATCTTAAAACTTTTAAAATTGATTTTTTGGGGTTATGTAACCAGATATTTTGCAAAAGTGTTGATAATGTTTTATTTTCCTATATCTTTTCTTATAAATAACTTAAACTAAATAGTGTAAACTTAAGATATTTTGGGGAAAATAATTCATTAATCAGAATATAATTTATATCAAATCAATTTGTAATTGATTTGATATAAATTATATTCTATTGCAATATAATGATTTTTTAAAAATTATAACATCATAAGATTAAACACTAAATTAAAGCTTACCCAACTTTCCAAGATTCATAAAAAGTATATATTCTAGAGACAGATTAGGCCAAGTATAAATTTCCAGTTTTTTCCCTTATTATAGTGAAGAGATTTCCTGTGGAAGGAAACAGGTGTTTGGTAAGCATAATGAAAGGGAACAGTAGTTCTAGAAAATGAACCAAACTGAAAATTAAATTAAAAATAATAATAATATCTATAAGTAATAATATTAATAAATAATAATCTCATTCAAACTTAGAAATCAATACTTTGGTATGTGTATTATAAAATATTTATTTGTTTTTTAATTAATGAAATAATTCACATTAATGAATTTTTTTCAGTTGTTTTAGACACCAATATATGGTACCATTCCACATTAATTGTATCAGATGGAATCAGCATCACGATTGGAGCGGAGTATGATTAACTTTATCTGTTAACAAGTAGTTTTATTTTAAAAATAAAGTATATGATTACATTTTTTTTTTTTTCAGTTAGTCATTATGACATCATACAAAAAAAATATTGAATTGATTTAATTATTTGTACAAATGCTTCTATCCAGTTTAATCAATTAGGTATTTTTTAAAATCTAACTACAGGGAAGAAAACAATTTAAGATTAATTGTTACTAGATATCAAACTAGATGTAATTAATAATCTTTAAGTTGAGTTAAAAGCAATTTTGATGTCATAAACTATTTAGTATTATTACTTTCTAATTAATTTGGTATTAATTAGTTGTGTTGTTCATTTTAAAGTTTTTAAAAAGCCCCTAACAGGCTACAAAGACCTTTCAAAAAAACTGATAGGAACAATACAACTACTAAAAAGTTGAAAATTGCACCGAATTTAGTATCAGGCTTACTAACCAGATTCATAAATAAAATTAATCAATAAATAAATAATAATCAACGAAGCACATTACGGAATTCTATTAAACTAAAATGTTACGCCAAAACCAGGGTTACCCGGCAAGCCATGCATTTTCCCCTATACTTATCTAAATTTTCCCTTAAATCTGCCAACTTTAATATTGGCATAAATATCAATTATAAATATTTTTGTTTTAGTATTTGACCAAATTATAACTCAACAATAAAATGAGGGCAAATTATAAAATTTGTTTATTTCATATTTTGAATCCTATGTTAGCCAGATCAATGATAATGAAAAAGGTAAAAGTTAAAAGGTGCATTAAGACATTTCACAAAATATGAAACAAATATACCGATGATTATTTTACTATGCTAGTCTTGTATATCTGTTTCTTATTTTGTTTTTTATATTTTTCATTTGCTGTCAGAATAAAGAGAAATAAAATAAACAGTTTAATTTAGCAATAATATCGCTGTCAGTTAAGATAGATGATTGTTTTTTCCATAGTTGATGAAATATTTAAACGCAACTCAAAACAGGTAAGTAATACATGGCAGATAAAAAATTATTGTATATTATCGATTCAAAATTTTCACCGTTCACAAAACCGGATTTATCCTTGGGGCGCACAATGCTGGAGAGAGTACGTTAGTTTTTTTTTATTTAATAACGATGAAAATGAGTTAAATAAAGTGATTTAATCATAAACCTTACAGTTTATTGATTTAAATAATTATTAGACTAATTGAGGAAGATTATCTGCTAGTATAAAAAAGAGTCGGAAAACGCTAGGAATGTACTAACTTATAAATACTGCTCGTGAAATCAGGTTTAATTATTTTATTTATTGAAATTTGAATTCGGTTCCAACAATAATATGTGAGAATGTGACGTAACAGTTAAGGATACTTGAGAAAATTACACTAATGGCTAATATTTCTATTAGCTTATTACATGGTACACTTGTTAAATAAATTATTGTTAAAAAAGACGTGTTTTAAAATTAGTCCTCAATATTAAATCCTGGATTAGTTAGTTCTGATGTGTATACTGGATGATTTAGCAACTCAACACAATTTAGCAGCCGTGAATTATTATAAAAGTTCTCTATTGTCAGATAAAAATGTTGAAAAATCTCAACCTGACACCCTGGCCTAATCAGACCACTCAATCACTTGGCGCGAAACATCGTTGTTTTAAAATATTTTACGAGAACGATAATGGGTTGAAATAAAATTTCGTGTTCCTATTTCTTATACTTGAACATTTGCATGACAATAAATACTGTTTCAGGTATTTATATTTTTAAGTTGAGCACTTCTCATTCATAACAGGCCCGAATGTGCACTAATTATCTTTATGAAAATTCCTTAATTGGCTTAGCATTAAGAATGAAAATTTTCTTTTACTCAAAGATAAATTATACAATAATAAAAATTATTTTTGAAGCATTCTTTAGATTGTATTTTGTGGCAGCTTAAAAAAATGGTTTTTACACTTGATAGATTCTGTACTACCTATTTTCTGCTTCATGAGCTGTCCTCAAAGCTATTGGTCCCAGCTTATCTCAAACTTGCAGGCATGATGGAAGGGATCTTCAATTTCAATAGGTAGTTTTAACAGCTCATAATAAAAAAAAATAAATGGATGACCTTCTCAAGATAAAACTACATGATATGTAAAAATAACAAAATATATTTTCAAATAAATTATTCAACACTTTTGTCATTTTTTAACTCAAATGTGTTATTATCAACTCTTTCTTTGTATTCAAAAAGTTGATTGAGTTCGATAGTGGAATAATTATGCCTACTTTATTGTTGTATAAACTTAAAATTAAAATAAGAAATATTGCAAAATATCTCTTTGTAATCTGATTGTTGTTTCACCTTCTTGTTTCTTTTGTAAAAGTTTGCTGCCTAAATAAATCTATATTAGTTTTGCTATAATGAAATCATGTAGTGTTATTCGTTCTGTCTATCAGGAATAAGTCATGTATGATCAATAGAAAAATATTCTTTGAAATAAACATTTATAACATAAATAATTAAATGCTATAAGTTAATTAAATAAACCACCAGTATTTTAGAGTAAAATAAACATTTCCTCATTGAGTATTATTCATAAAGTAATAGTTTAAAAAGTAATTGTAGCAGATTTTAACATAAGTTGTTATTAAAAATATAAGATATATATCAGAAATTACATCATGGAATATAAAAGCCAAATCATAGGCCAAGTAATAATGATTATAATTGGAAACAATGAGATTATTATAATTTAAATTTTATCTCAATAACAATTTTAATTTCTATCTTGACATAATAATAAAAAACAATTGCATTCCAGTTTGATACATACAATTCTTCATCTTTGTTATTTGTATTTATCCATCTCGTTTTTGGTCTACCATGCTTGCATACAATTGAACCATTCAATGTTGTGTAGACTTCTTGAGGGATTGCTTTGAACAACATGTGCAGTGCATGAGCAACATGTATCTTCAGATATTGATTGACCAGTTTCTATAAGCAGTGGTCCTTCTCATACATGCAAACAGCAATGTACATCATTGATTTGAGATTTCAATACCATCCAAAGAAAGTAGAAAAAATCCAGTAAGTCATCAATTGAGTTTATTGTAGAACCTAAGTATTTGAATCTTTCAACTCCTGGTAAAAATTCCACTTCAACACAGATCCTCTGGGATTGGATGTTAAGATTATCTTTGTTTTTGGTAAAAAGTGTATAATACTAATGAAACTGAAATTTTAAGGATTAAGATAGTGATCTAATAACCATTATTAATTAATTCCAATGAAAGTAGTGGAGGTTTCAGGAAAAAAGTTATCACTACAACCTATGAAATATCTAAGATTCACAACTTTGTAAGGAAGTACTGTTTCGTGGTGAACGGTTGTGCAGGGGTCACACTCAACTGTCAGGTTTTCCCACATGATTAATTTATTAATTAAGAGTACCCACTTTATAGAGCTTGGGTGTGTCTGTCCCAGGAAGTTCAATCCACAGCTGATGTAACAGAATAAATTATCACCTGCCATCACCCAGCTTCAAATCCTGGACCTTGAGCAAAGGATGCCAGTGCCTTACCCACTGAGCTACTCAGTTCTCTTTGTCAAATGATTTTTGAAATATCATACTTTCCTGTCATTATCATTTTTTTTTTTAATTTGTTATCAGCCAGTTAACAATGTAAACTAAATCTTATTTTATTTTTAATATCAATACAATCACTGGTATGACCATTTCACTTTGTGGGTCTTGTTCTTTCTTAAAAATAAAACTTTAATTTTTTTTTAAATTAAAATAATAAATACTACAAAAAGAGGTAACGAACTTAAGACCAAAATTAGTAGATAAGATTACTTGAAAAATGAAATCACTTCTTTGATTCCAACTTTCTCAAACTATGCTACAAGGAATTACATACTAATTTCGAAGAGGTCATTCCATTAGTTTTTATTTATGTCATCAAAGTGTTATTTACGTTACCCCTAAAGTGCAGCTTCTCCCATTTTATGATACTTTAAATATCAACATATTAAAAAAAAGATAAGAATTAAAAGTGCATGTTTTAAACTATTGAGTTATACCAGCAAAATGTTTTATTTCATCCTCATAAATGAAATCTATAAGCAGATGGTGAGAGTGCGAACATAATTTTTATTATAAAACCTGAGAATATATTAAAAAAAAAAGGGAAACTTAAGTTACCATTTCATCCCTGTTGATTGAAATTGTTTGAAGAAATGAAATTGAACATTCTACAGGTTTTTACTTTCTTAAGGTTAGAGTCAATAACCTTAACCCTATATTTAATTATGTTTGTTTAGCTTCTTGCTAAGATGTTTTCTACTGAAATAAATAAATATAATTTTTCACACTAATTATAACTGTCCATGGGATTATCTTATTACCCTTAACTTTTTAATTAATAAAATGAAACAGAAAAACTACATACCACTCAATTGTAGGAATGCTGAGTATGCGATTTGTAAAAATATGTCATTAATAGTTTCATAGTGAGCTATGAAAATCTGGAGTAATACGTATGCTTGAAAAAATGGAAAGAGAGACAAAAAATTGTTATTGAAATAAAATTTTTGTTTTATTTTAAAAATATTTGTGTGCTCCATATACAATATTAATATAACAAATTTTCTAACAAAAAATATAATTGAAAAAAAAAAGGGAACCATAGATTTCATCACTGGTGATATAATAAAATAAATCTATAAGTACAAAACTAATAAATATAACATGCAAAATTTTATTATCAATGTAAAAATGAATGTACAAACAAAATGCAGTATGAAAAAAAAAATACTACAACAAGGTAACTAATTAATAACTAATAGCACAGATGGTCACACAAAGGAATTTTATTTTCTCTTCACTCTTCTTTACACAATGTGGATCACATCCAAACGTCAGTCAGCTATTCTTCTATATATAACTACTCTCGCATTAAGGAAGATTCTATGAATCGTAACATATCGAAACGCGCCCTACCAACAATATACACTGTACATATATCTCGTCTATAAAGTTAATATTTATTTGTTACATATAAAGTATATATGTAATAACTTCATGGTAGGCAAGTGATTGCCTTTATTATGATTTTTAAAAAAATATATAGAAAAAAAAACAATATGAAGAACAAATACAAACTGAATAAATGAGATAATTCCAAACCTCATTATTTACAATTTTTTAAACTTAAAACAAAAGGTTATATTCAAATATATTTTAATAAGATAACAAAACAAAAAGGGGGAGAGAGAAAAGCCAGAGATATTTGTTCTTCAAATGTTAAACGAGATATTTTCCTATTCTATCAGTCGACTTATTGTTTTCCTTCTTGTTTCTGTTCTTCGGTTTTATCGGAAGCTTGAGACCCAGATTGTGATTGCTGGTCCCTTTCTGAGGCCATCTGAAAATAAATAAGAAAATGTTTAATCTGTTTTAAACTTTTCTATTTTATGATAATAATATGCATAACATTTTCTATATTTTTTTTAAATAACAAAATCTTTTATTCAGTTATTTAACTAAACAAAATAGTGGCAACAATTTCGGTGAAAGAAATAAGTTTACCAAAATCATAGCGAAATATTAAAAATTGGTAGTACTTCTTCCATGATGTGGTCAATCACACTCACACTGTAAGCTCTCTTTTAAGGTATACAAAATCGAAGTTGGAACATATCAAACAAACGAATACTTTAAAACTAAGTATTCACTTAACTAAAGAATCAAACAATCAATACTTTCAAGTTTAACATCACAAGATAACAATTTTAACTTGACTAATAATCGTAATTATACATGACTAATTGTAATCATTCATAATAATACAAATAAAATAGAATCAAATTTTACATCTTCATTAATCCAAATAGTGCTCAGCCCTTATGTCAACAAGATAATATTCAGAGACAAAAAATAATGAACATCATTGCACAGCTAATAATGAAATTATTAACAATCTTAATTTACAGCAGTATACGTGAAAAAAAATCTTTATGACAGTTCATGAAAAGAGGATCAACACTGGTTAACGGCTTATTTTTAGACTTCAAGGTCTCTTGAAGAAAAATCTATCAAAAAATTGTACTAGGGCTGAATAAGATTACTAATTTTAGGATCAAAATTTCGTGGCAAGCTGACATTTGAAAAAAGTTCTAATCTAAATCTGGTTTATAGCAGATAGTTCAGACGGCCAAGTGTATCTTCAAACAATAAAAGTCAGTAATTTATTATTTGCGAAACCATATGGCAATTCATCATGACTTTACTGCCAACCAGTTTCGAGGACTAAATGAACAAATAAAATAATTAATTAGGAATTTAATGAACCTTTAAATTAATTCGTGAAAAAAGTTACAAGATTTTTGATGTATAAAAAAGTTAATATACACCTTTAGTTAAAATCAGTTACAAAGTAATAATTCGATCTAATATTAATATCTAATAATACTATAAGCTCATGAACCACAAATTTAAAACAATATCTCTAAAGGATCTAATGAATTATAAAAAACATTTTTGGAGAAAACAATAGAGGTATTAACTGAAATTAAAGAAACAATACATAAATTGAAGCAAATTCTACCAGATTATATACAAAAAGACGTAACACCCAATCAATTTGCAATAAATATTTAGCAATGTACACTAATGGAGCAGAATGTCGTACAGGATGAAATATCCAAGATTAAAATTGAAGATAATGATTTAACGTAACAAAAAACACACTTGAAAAAGGCAGCACATTTTAGACATTTGTAATTACAATAGTTGTGCTCAGTCCCAATGTCTACATAATAATATTCAGAGACAAAAAATAATAAACATCATTGCACAACTAATAATAAAGACAAATAAGCAAGCAATATACAACAAAACTCTGCCCACTAGTGTTCCTCATCCACAAATACGTAGACATCTTTATTAAAAGTTATTTTTTAACAGTGAAAACCAACAATTAACAATAATAATCGCTCTTGCACAAAGACAAAAAATTAAACAAATCTAGAAGTTCAGAGATAGGCAGTGACAGTAAGGTTCCATTACTGAATATTCCTTTCTTTGTAGAAAAGTAATTATCACAAATTTTACTCATAATGCAGCTGTTCAGTTTTTTTGTATATTACTCACAAATATTCCTATCTCCCTATATTAAGAGGATTTAAATCATATTTTTAAAACTTTGGTTTAAATTGATTAAATTACATATTTTATTTGTAGTAAAAATATACATATTTCAAAATTTTAAAGATGTGTTTAAGAGAAAAATTGCACAAAAAGGACATACTATAGGATTTTCTATTTTAAATCTATAACACTATTTAAGATATGTGAGGAATTATGCTTTCTTTAAAAAATATATATAATTCTTCAAGTCCGAGCACTATTATTCACAATTTGTCTTTTTTTTAATTCTACTTCTAGAGTTTTTCTGATGATTGGAAAAGAACAAAACAAACATATCCTATAAAATGTACAGTTTAATATTTGAAAGAGAAAAAAATGGTCATGCAAGGAGGTGGATTTTGACGAATCATGATCAACTGCTAAGTTTTTTTGCAATTTAAGATATCCACTTAATAGAACCTGACTGTGCCCTACCCTAGGGGGGCCTCCTAACCCACAGCTGATATAAGGAAATAATAATTATAAGCCATAGCTCAGCTCAATCCCCATGAAAAATGGTAATACACAAAGAGCTACCATCTTTCTCTAATATTAGGGATTTTTTTTTCTGGTTAAAAAAAAAACATAACTAACAAACTAAATTACCTTTTTATATGCCATTTCAAATAATTTGAGTGAATTCTGCTGCAGAGAACCAACTGTCTTTCTGATTTCGTCTGGGTCAGATTCATCCTTTTTCGCCAGAAGATCACGAACCTTAGCGATTTCTTCTTTCATTTTATCAACCTAGAAGAAAAAAAATCATGAAGGATTACCAACATGTAACAATACTTATTTCCTAATTCCAAGATTATTTATTTGAAATGCATAATAATTGTTTCAATAAAATATCAAAATACAGCATTTTTCAACAAATATTAATAACTAGTTTGCACAAATGAATAATTCACATTCTAAGTTAGACAAAAATGATAAAATGTTTTTAAAATATTGTTAATTTATAAAAAAAATTAAATTTACAGCTTCAGTAAGTGATTCCTTGCTTAATATAGCTATCTACCACATGTGATCAATCCTGGCATCTATTTAATTATATTGAATTTGAATCAATATTTACTAAGAGAGAGGGAGTTAATTGGAACAAGCAACAGTATATTTCCTAACTGTTCTAAATACACATTTTTTCGAAGCCTATTTGTTGCATTTTTAACTAAAATATTATGTACAATGTTTTATTTTATGAAGTTCACAATTAATGCTCTATTCCTGATATTATAATTATTTTGTAGTCAACATGAGGTTTAAATCTAAATTTGGTTAACAGCAGATAGTTCAGACGGCCAAGTGTATCTTCAAACAATAAGTCAGTTATTTATTATTTGCGAAACCATATGGCATATCATCATGACTACACAGTAAACAGATAACATAACTTAAGAAAAAAGAATAATTATAAACTTATCATGGACGATAAATAATAAGGATTTTAAGCCATTGCAAGTTAATAACCTCTAAAACAGTCAATAAAAATTCATTGATAAATGAAAATGAAGGCATGAGAATTTTGAAAAAGGAAATGAACAAAGTTAACTCTTTTAATCTCATAACCTAACGCCAGCTATCTAACACATGTAAGCTATCCTCCTTTAAATTATTTTGATTTTAAATCCATATTTACTGGGAGAGAGGGAGTTAATTGGAACAAGCAACAGTATATTTCCTAACTGTTCTAAATACACATTTTTTCGAAGCCTATTTGTTGCATTTTTAACTAAAATATTATGTACAATGTTTTATTTTATGAAGTTTACAATTAATGCTCTATTCCTGATATTATAATTATTTTGTAGTCAACATGAGGTTTAAATCTAAATTTGGTTAACAGCAGATAGTTCAGACGGCCAAGTGTATCTTCAAACAATAAGTCAGTTATTTATTATTTGCGAAACCATATGGCATATCATCATGACTACACAGTTAACAGATAACTTAAGAAAAAAGAATAATTATAAACTTATCATGGACGATAAATGATCAGGATTTTCAACCACAATAAGTTTATAACCTCTAAAACAGCCAATAAAAATTCATTTATAAATGAAAATGAAGGCGAGAGATTTTTGATAAAGGAAATGGACAAAGTTAGCTGTTTTAATCTCATAACCTAACGGCCCCCCTAATCACCTAACCATCCCTAAATGTTCTAAATACTTATCTTTTTGATGCCTATTTGTTGCATTTTTAACTAAAATATTATATACAATGTTTTATTTTATGAAGTTCACAATTAATGATCTATTCCTGATATTATAATTATTTTGTACTCAACATGGGGTTTAAATCTAAATTTGGTTAACAGCAGATAGTTCAGACGGCCAAGTTTATCTTCAAACAATAAGTCAGTTATTTATTATTTGCGAAACCATATGGCATTATCATCATGACTACACTGCAAACAGATATTTACTGTAATCCATGTTTACTGGGAGAGAGGGAGTTAATTGGAACAAACAACAGTATATTTCTTAACTGTTCTAAATATTCATATTTTTGAGACCATTTGTTGCATTTTTAACTAAAATATTATATACAATGTTCTATTTTATGAAGTTTACAATTAATGCTATATTCCTGATATTATAATTATTTTGTAGTCGACATGAGGTTTAAATCTAAATTTAGTTTACAGTAGATAGTTCAGACGGCCAAGTGTATCTTCAAACAATAAGTCAGTTATTTATTATTTGCGAAACCATATGGCATATCATCATGACTACACAGTAAACAGATAACTTTAAATATAAACTTATCCTGGATGATAAATAATCAGGATTTTTAGCCATTGTAAGTTTATAACCTCTAAAACAGACAACAAAAATTCATTGATGAATGAAAATGAAGGAGAGATTTTTTAAAAAGGAAATCAACAAAGTTAACTGTTTTAATATCGTAACCTAACGCTGTGACAATGTAATTCTTTTAATATAAAAAAACAAATTTAAAATATCTTTAAAGATTCTAATATGAAAAAAAGAAGGATGATCATACAGAATGCATAAACTGAAATTGATGGAGTAGTATCAAAAATAGAAAAATATTCTACTAGAGTATTCATAAATAAAAGAATATTCACTAAAAGACAGAACATTAAATTAATTTTTAATTCGTTTCAATGTGCAAATGGTTTAAGATCTACTAAAAGATGTAATATTCAAGTTGCTTATGGTTGAAGATAACAAAATTTTAAGCTAATCTGATATTCTTAAGAAGCCTCGAAAATTATATGATCAATTTGATAATTTAGTTCAATCATGACTAGTTCAATAGTGTGAATAATTTGCATAGGGTATGGTATTGGACAGAGAACCAAATAAAATAATATAGAAATAAGTAAATACAATGTATTATGAGATGAAGAAATTAATTTTATTTACCTCAGTCGATTGTACCAAAACATATGTACAGATTACAAATTACAAGTACATAGCAAAGGCTGTATCTTTACTAATTAATAATGGATTTTTTTTTTTGTAGAGAATTTAATAACTTATCAAATATAAATTAACTATTTAAGTTATGCGCTAATAAAGGTTTTTTTCTTTTTAACTTTTCTTCTGGGTGATGTGCTTATTTTCGCACCTGAAGGAGAAGATAATCTTCAAAATAATGACTGAATCATTGGATTTGATTAAAATATTTGTGCTCAGTCCCAAAGTCTACATAATGATATTCAGAGACAAAAAATAATAAACATCATTGCACAAGAAATAATAAAATCATAAAAAAACAGAGACTGGGTAAACTCAATTCATATCTTAAGGCAGTGGTTCTCTAAACAGGTGCAGCAGAATTTTAGCACACAACAAGGTGGTTCAGTTTTTTTAAATAATAAAATATTAAGTTTTAATTTAAATTAAATGAACAACGAGCAATCTTGAATAATGTTCATTAAAAAAAAAAAAAAAAATCAAGCTAGAATTGCTGTTATTTATAAATAAAACTAAAGATTTATAACATGGTCATGTGTAACTTCAACTCCACTTAACTCCATTTATGATGAAAACTAGCTAGGTAATTTACTGCATTTATTTCTTAAAGCTCATTCAAATGGGAAGTATGATTATGTTATATTTAAGTTATAAGACTGAGAAATCGAAGTATTATATAAATTATAAGATCATTAGCAAAGAAATCAGATAGTCATTTTTTTTTTTTTTTTGTTCTATCCAACAATATTCTATCCATCAAAGCTGAAGAATTGAATTAGGTAATAGGTAAATTTATCTTTATAGAGAAATTTATTAAGTTAACTTTAGAATTTAATTATATATAATTAAAATGAATGAATAATTTACTTATTGTTTAAAAAAAAAAAAAAAAGAATCAAGAGATAATAATAAATAGTTCAACCCATTGTTTTTTTTGTTAAGAAAATAAGTTTTTTAAATTAATAACAGTAAGGCTATGTTTAATTAGGACACCCAGCAACGTTCCTTACATTATATTTATCAATCATTCAATTCAATGTCTATTGATATCACAAGTTTGTGTGATGTTTTCCAAATTAAGACATAGAATGACATAATAAAAAATGTGAAACTAATAGCTATGCTCAGTACCTAAAGTCAACACTCAAGAATGTCAGAGACAAAAAATATTAAACATCATTGCACAGACTGAAAATAAGGTTAATATTGAAGATTCATCACAATTAATCGAACGCTATAACAAAAAACTAATTTGATTAAAAGATTCCCTTAATATTACAGAAGGGAATTGATTATTCCCATTTTGGTAGTTATTCATAAGTGACCATACTAATAATGGCCAGATTTGTTTTTGAGAAAAGTTGATATAATTAAAAAATACAGATAAGACAAAAATAACACTTACCTCAGCTTGTGGCAACTGATCTTTGAACTCGTTCATTTTTGATTCTGTCTCGTGAATAATATTCTCAGCCTGGTTGAAGGCTTCTACTCGCTCTTTCTTCACCTTATCCTGTTGTGCGTACTGCTCTGCGTTCCGGACCATATTTTCAATTTCGTCTTTGCTGAGGCCACCAGAAGATTGGATAACAACTGCGCAATAATAAGAGTTAAATTATTTTGCCATCCACAAGACATAATATAAAAACTGTTCATTAACATACACGTTCTACTGTAAAAAGGGTTCGGGATTATCATTGGTCCAAACAATTGTAGCGATTAACAACTTTATTTTGATTGTTAATTTTTGAGTGATGTTCTTATTTTATTATTAATACTATAAATAGAAATGTATTAAGGATCAAAAAGATAACTATATTCCCACACACAATACCAACAAAAATCATTAATTTAAAAAAAATAATCGGTTCATTAAAAAGTTTTGACCTATCATGACAGTTACAATTGACTATTATTAATTGTGGTAAAAAAAATTGTTTTCCTTGTTCCGCTGTCTATTTTTAATGGAGAAAATATAATAAATGTTTAAAAAAAAAAATCAATTATAACCTTTAAGCTGACTGCCAAATTGAGAAAATAAATTTTTTCTTAGCTGAGTTACTTCACAAAAAACATTTTAACAAAGATCATCTGATATGAAATTATTAACAATAAATCAAATATTTTAGTTGTTTGGCAATAATAACTTCCAATTGGTAACAATTGAGTATATTTTTATTATCAACGTTACATGTTAACAAGTTAGTTAATGTTTCGGGATAATTATTCCTATCTTCGGAACTGCAATCCCAATACTCTTGTGGATGCAAGGCTAAAAATTTTTTTAAGTTATAATATTGTGCTTGTTACATACATTACATATTTGAATTTTGTTTGTTACAATAAATTTTTAATTACCTTAAATTTAATAATAATAATAATGCGCTCCATTGTCAAATTTCTAATTCATGTTCTAAAATGTATCATCTAGAGCAACATCCTCCTTTTGACCAATAATTGGGTTTCTGCCATAGTGAAAAAATCGACCTTTGGATCTGACTGTTTTATCTGACTATTTTTATTGTTGTTGTTAATGTTTATTTTATGTGTCTGTGATTTCACTTCTATTAAATTTTAATCCTGTTCAATATGTCCGCATAATGGGTTCCTAAATGTTTAGTGTCTGTTTTGTAGTTGACTGTTGTTTTTTGTAATGTGTATTGCTTCAAGTAATTTTCTAATGGTGTTTTTTGGTTCTGTGCCTATTATCTGTGGTTCTTTTAAAGTTAAATTTATGCTGTAGTTTTATACTGTGATGTGCTAAGGCTGTTGTGTTTATGTTTTTTGGATTTTTACAGTTGGTGATATGTTGTGAGATTCTAGTTCCTAATTGCATGGATGTTTCACCAATGTAGATTTTGGGGCAGTTTTGACAGTTTAATTTATATATTACATTTTTCTTGTTTATTGGTTCTATTTTATCCTTTGTGTTGGTGATGTGCCTGCTTAGTTTCTTGTTATTATATTGTCCGAGTTTAATTTCTGTCAAGTCATAATCTTTGAACACGTCTTTTTAGCCTTGCATCCAAAAGAATATTGGGATTGCAGTTCTGAAGATGGGAATAAAGGTCCCGAAACGTCAACTAACTTGTTAACATGTAACGTTGATCATAAAAATATACTAAATTGTTAATAATTGGAAGTTATTATTGCCAAACAACTAAAATAAATAGACAACTTCCCAGAAAAAAAAAAAAAATCAAATAATTTTTTCTCAAATAAAATATAAATTTATGGATCTTAATATTCAATTACATATTAAGATAAGAGTAAACGACTTACTTTGTTGCTCCTTTCCAGTTCCCTTGTCCCTTGCTGAAACGTGGACAATACCGTTGGCATCAATATCAAAGGTGACTTCGATTTGTGGTACACCTCTTGGCGCTGGTGGGATACCAATCAGGGTGAATTGACCAAGGAGTTTGTTGTCCGATGCCATTTCTCTCTCTCCTTGGTGAACTTTGATTTCGACTTGTGTTTGTCCGTCAGCTGCAGTTGAAAATACCTAAAAACAATACAATCAAATAAATTAAATTAGAATCACAAGATTAAATGTAAATCCAGATTTTAAGATTTACAGTTAATTTTTTTTTTTTTCTGATGTGAAATATGATAATAAGCATAACCAGAGCACAATCTTTAAAAAAAAAACTGAGTTAAGTAGCTCCCTAATTGAGAATAGATAGACATCAATAACAAGGCAAACGTCTCATTTTTCTTATAAATTAATATTGCAACACCTCAGAGGTAGTGACAATAGGAAAATAGACATCACAGACAAATCAATCCCAAAATTCTCATCATAGGTGTATGCAATAATACTTTCAGTCCCAATAATATAAAAAATAAATAATAGCATAATTTTGATTCGCCTTTCCTAGAAATTGTTTACCTATTTAGCTCAATCAGATACACGTTAAAAATATAAACTAAGCATTTCTTTAGGTTTCGAAAATAAATATTCTCTTACAGATGTTTAGTATACACGATAACACTTCCAAATGTTAGTTACTTAATAACTGATAGATAATTTTTTTCCCTATACTCTAAATTAAAAATTTTTAATTTAAATTTATATCTTAAGATAAAATAGGTCTTTTAGTTTTCAAAATTATATTAGAAATTAAGATTCAAAGAATCGGAAACAAATTCAGCTCATGTGGTCGTACCTTGTTCTAAGCCATATTTTTTGTTAACATTGTTTAAAATTATATTTATTTACTTTTTTAATAGTGAAACAAGTTATTTTTAAAATATTAAAAAACTAAATCTTAAAAAAACATAAGATTGTTAATTATTATCAATATCGATTGGTAAACTATTAACACTTAGAAAAAAATTAATATTGATAATGACTTTTTTAGGTGGAACATAATTAATAATAAAATGTTTTAAAGATGGGTGTGACTCTCTAGAACTTTATCTTATCCTATTACAGACCAGTGTAAAACCAATTTGAGAGGTAAACTATTATTTTTGCCATTGGTGAATTACTGAAAAATAAAATAGTACACAGTAATGAAGATTGCTGTAATATTTTATAGATAGCTGTGCTCAGTACCCATAGTCAACATTCAATAATTTCAGAGACAAAAAATATTGAACATCATTGCACTGCTATTAAGAAAAATAAGATAATGGAATTGTGAAGTATTGTTGAATACTTGTATTTATCAAAATAGACCACACTATATGATATGATCAGTTATAAAAAGAGTTTTTATTATTTTTTATCCAAGAATTAAGAATACATTACCTGACTTTTCTTTGTAGGAATTGTGGTGTTCCTCGAGATGAGCCTTGTGAAGACTCCTCCAAGAGTTTCAATACCCAACGATAGAGGTGTGACATCAAGAAGTAATACATCAGTGACATCACCTGCAAGGACACCACCCTGGACAGCAGCTCCTACAGCGACAGCTTCATCGGGATTAACGGCCTTTGACGGTGACTTTCCGAAAATTTCCTGTACTGTTGCCTGGACCTATTCGATAGAAAATAAAAATATATCATCAGAAATAACAACCAGTACTACAAAACAGGCGTTAGATACTCCCTGAAGGAAAATAATTGAAATATAATAGCAAAATTATATTTCAACAGAGATGAATAAATTAAATGACAACTTAAGGGGAATTGAATTAGTTGAGAAAAAAATACTACTAATAAAGAAATTGAACATCTAAATTTAAAAAATAAATATTTATTATCACAATGGCATGACAATAATAACTGAAAACACTAATTATTATTGTCACTAAAACACTAATTATAACAGAACACTAAATTATATGAACTGAAACAGTAATTTTTATAAGATGAGGCTATCATGAATTGTACAATCATGTGTGCTGGAGTGCTCAGGTAATTTTTTTCCTCATTTCTCAGAGAACAAATTAGAATTGCACATCATTGCAAAACTCCATAGCATTCCAAAATATAAAATGTTAATACATGATTGTTTTAAAATTTAACTGATAAAATGTATAAAAAGAATAGGAAATGAAGAATTTTGGAAATGGCATTTTATATTTATTTTATGAAATAAAAAATTTTTATTTCGTATACATGTTAATGATGTCACTAAATCTAAAGTTTTTATTATTATTCTAATATACTGGGTACCTAAAGGAAATAGGAGAAGAGAAACTAGTCTGGAAAATGGAACAAACCAATTAGTCAATCCCAGCCTTAAGTTATACTTGTTATTTAAATTGGAAATTTGATCAAAAATGTTCATTTTTGTAATGAAAATCTAAAAGATTAATATCTTACTAATCTGATTACCTTTTTCAATTTTTTATGGGGTTTGTTTTTAATCCTTGCAGTGATTAAATTATTTTCTCTGGTTTATTATTAACTATTTTGAGCATTTCTATCACTAAAAATACTTATTACATACACAATCTGATTTCAACTGCAGAGAAGTCTTTGAAAATAATGATTATTAAAATCCTGTGTGGCTGAATGCTCAGGTTATTATTTCCTCATTTAATTCGGAGAACAAATTAGTTATGAGCATCATCGCATACTGCCACAAAATAAAGCAATATATTTGCATAAAATAATTTATAAGATTACATATGCTACCATACTAATTTGTTACAATGTCCCCTAGGCAATTTGCTATACCAAAGACAATTTTAAAGCTAATAAATTATGTATAGCTGCTTAATCTTAGAAAATAACAATATTTGAACAGAATAGTCCTAATTGGATTAATACTTAATTTAAAAATTAGTTAGAATCATTAGAAATAGATAAGGTTCTTACCCTGGGCATTCTGGTCATTCCTCCAACAAGAAGAACTTCCCCAATGTCTGACTTCTTGACCTCTGCATCGGTAAGAGCTTTCTGGCAGGGTGTGGTAGTCTTCCTAATAAGTTCACCAACAAGGTTCTCGAACTTCGACCTGGTTAACTATTAAATAAATAAAATAGTTTTAATATCCTAGAACAGGAGCCAGAACAAATATTTATAGATATCTTTTGATCGAATACCTTGAGGTTCATATGTTTTGGTCCCGACTGGTCCATGGTGAGGTAAGGGAGGTTGATGTCAGTCTGCAGGGAACTACTAAGTTCGATCTTTGCCTTCTCGGCAGCTTCCTTCAATCTCTGCATTGCCATCTGATCTTTGGTGACATCTAATCCTTGCTAAAGTATAACAGAAAATATGTTCTTTAGTAAAACTCAATGTATTTTGTTCTTATTTTTACCATGTAAAATAAAATATATTAAACAGCTCCATATTATTATGTCCCTTTTCTTTCTAATTTTACTTCATCATTGTTTATCACAATGAACATTGATCATTTTTCATTTATATGGTTAAAGGAATGATTCTTAACAGGGGAGTATCAGACAATAACAAATAGATTTAATGTATGATAAGAAATATAATCAAATTAATTTAAAATAAAACAATAAATTAATGATGCATACAGTTAGTTGTTTAAGGATTTTATATTAGAAATAAATCTAAACAAGCTTAATAATTTCTGTAATGATAATATATATATATATATATATATATATATATATATATATATAATGAATTATTAAATTTCTGGTCAATTCTTCAGGTCAATTAGTTGATTAAAAATAAACCCTTATAGGAAGGCACTTTTCTTCAATGGACAATTGATTAATTCCATTGAATGATTATCTGCTTTGGAGCAGTTTCAAGTTCAAATTTAAATAAGAATAATACTAATTTTTAAGATAATATTACAGTTATAAACAAAGTGAAGTAAATTGAGGCTTTCACCGAGCACTACTTATCAAAACTTGAAAAATTATCATTTAAGATATTTTTGCTAATTTAGATCATAAATATTATTCGATTTAAAATAAAATTACTAATTTACAAAACAAATGAGGGTTTTCGCTTATGGGAATTTGGTTGTATTTATTTAAAATAAGGATATATATCGTTGACATAAATGCTGATTATCAAATCTTAAAATCACTAATATCGTATCCTTATCAATTCAGCCCAAACAACAAGGATGTTTTAATTTCCACACTGATATGAATTTTTATTCCAAGCTTATATGAATTTGTAAGGTTTCATATTCGTTCTTTAAAGATATTTATTTACAATTAAAGTATCTTGAGTGCAGGGTTTTAAATTTTTCATATTTGATGGTTAGCATTTGCATCTACGATATAAAATGCTACTTTATATTTTTCTATATAATCGATATCACAATTAATTATTGATACTCTGGAGTCCCGATAGTGTATGCCATATAATGAAATATAAAAATAAATGGTGAACAACGATATAGTAAATAAAAATTCAAGGATCTCTAGATAGCCCAGGTAGGATAATTTAAATTTCTTGTTTATATCGTTAGGTACATAGTGAATATAAAAATTCAAGTTTCCGCCCTTGAAAGCCTTGTTGATTCGATGCATTGCTTCAAAAACCATTGAAATTTCCAACTTTTTTTGGTTTAATCTAAATATTTCTTTTAATACAAAATATGGTGTTTGTGCAAAGATAGTTCCGAATTCTCTCGTTATGGCAAGTGATGAGGCAGACAGAAGATCTAAAAGATAAGATTTAATCCGTACCACCTCATGGTACACTCGGCCCATTTCAGTACTGATATCCGCAGAGGGAAGACTACCAGGCTTGAAGGTAACCATACGATGTCTGTACCAACATAAAAATGATAAGCTGTTTTTGCACAATTCGTATAACCTACCAATCCATTACGATACAGTCCACTGCATAAAAGTAGAATGTTGCCTATTTTGAACTCATGAGTTATTTGTCTTGCCTTAATTTAAAATTTGGAAAGTTGTCTAAACAAATGGTTATATTCAATCTTAAACAGCATACAATTTCTGACATTTTTTTCTAAACCCCACAGGAAGCGAACTATTGATCTTTCAAAATTTACCTATTTTGATTTTATCACAATAGTGCTCTTTCAGTTTTGGATGGTAGAATTTGATAACTCCATTGTTAACCTCTTTCAGAGAATTTGGAGGTTTTCTTTAAAGATAATGAGCCATTCACTGGACTGGTAGATGGTATTCGGGAAGAGTTTTGGAAATTATGTTAATACTCTTTGTCCACTTAGTGATAGAAATTTAGTTATAAGATTCAAAACTAAAAATTACAGTACATCAGCTATATTTTAGAAGAATCAGTAAGCTGTTAATTTTTATATTAAAGTTTTAATTAAGAATGATTCTGCTTAATATGTGACTTGTGAGGTCCTAATCATATCAGATAATCAGGATTCCACTTTATATTTGTTTCTGATTAATTGTGAACATTACTTAATGTTATGGGCGATAAATATTCAGGACGCAGTCATTATAAAGTTTTTGTTGGTGCCGACGTTTCAACACAAACATATGAGTCATCGTTAGGGCTGACAATTTTTTAATACAATCAGAGATAAAATATTACAAGACAGATGATGGTTAATAATGAAAAATATTGATTGATGATAAATGAAATATGTAAAGAGTTATCCAAACTAAATATATCAACGAACGAATATATCAACACAAATATAGCATGGCATCTCCCCACGAAACCCGCTCGCCTTGAAACTAGCCGAATACGCCATAATCCTTAATCACACACTTAATTTTGGAAACCGAACCATACTTGCCACAGTTTCCATTCACCAAAAACGACTACTTTCAGAAGCTATATACATTAATATATATCATTCTTTACTAATTTGGAAAAAAATAACCCGGTAAACCACCAAGTAGACAAGGAAAAGATCTGCAACACATATTCAAACATTTTCCGCCTCCTAAAACAATAGTCTATAATCATTAAAAATTGTTTTTCATTTTTCCCCTCAACGTACAGGTGTAACTACTCCTATGTTTATTATATATATATACACACACATGTACATATAACACCGATACTCAATATAAATTTATACTATAAATAGGCACAGATATGTTCATACTTATACTATTAGAACTATGTAATTCCTAATATAATAGATTTTTTAAGAACACGGTTAAAAAGAGAAAATATTATATTTTTTATAAATTGATCATATACATTAGTTTTAGTTTGTGTAACTTTTTACATATTTCATTTATCATTAATCACTATTTTTTTTTTTATTATTAACCATTATCTGTTGTGTAATATTATATCTCTGATTGTATGAAGAAATTTTCAGCCCAGATGATGATCCACATATTTGATTTGAAACGTTGGCATCAATAAAAACTTTATAATGACTGCATCCTGAATATTTATCACCCATGATATGTCTCGAACAGTCGAATAACTTCCTTCAATAATTACTCAATATTATATTATTATGGTGCCGCATCGACTTCAGCAAAACAACAATAATACATTGCATACTTAATTAATTATAAAAATAAATAAGATTTTCACTTACATCTCTTTTGAATTCTTGAACAAGGAAATTGACGAGTGTATTATCAAAATCTTCACCACCAAGGAATGTGTCTCCATTTGTCGATTTGACCTCAAACACTCCCTTTTGGATTTCGAGAATAGATATATCAAAAGTACCACCACCCAGATCATAAACAGCAATGCTGGAATATAATAAGAAAAAAGAAAAGAATGAATAAAAGCTGAATTTACTTATAAATCATTTGTTTTATTTGAATATATAATAAACAGACAACACTCTGTTTTGTTATTTACTATCAAATAAGATAGATTTGCACAAAATATGTTGTTTATTCTTAACGTTTGTCGTAAGTTGATCCAGTAGTATAAGGCTAAATTGCTGAACATAATGTTAAGTAGAACGAGAGCTGAAGTTGTTACTTAATCAATTTGTTAATTTTACTATCACTTAAACTTTCCCCTAAGATGTATAACTAGTCAATAGGGAATCAAAAAGAATCATCACTAATTACTATTAGGGACTAAAAGGGAACTATCTTAACAAACTAATAAAGTAAATAACCAAAAATGTCTATTTTCATTCTAATTTATACAAATACACTCCATATAATTTCTTTCTATTCATTAATTCATAGGAGAGTTACAAAGTATCAGACAAGACAACACAAAATAGTTACTCATTAACCCGCCATTGCTGGATGGGCCAAGGGAGGGTGTTTATTTATTGTCTTTTAAGAACCTTGATATAATAAGATTTCGGAATTGGAAGAGTCTCAACAAAGCAGAAATGACTAATTCAAGTAACTTGAGTAAAATGATATCGATAAAATGTCTATTCCCGTATCTCTATAAGAGGTTCTGGATACTATATTGTACTAGAGAATGTAGTTTTTTAAAAACAACCAACTTGTCAGTAAAATTATCACTGTCCATTAAACATATTCATGTTTATAACTTTTCTTCTAAGCGTAAAGTAGTTTTCAAAAGTAACTTAATTAAAAAATCTTTTTAATATCAAACAAACATCACATTATAAATTTCGAACATATGTGTAGAAACATTTTACAAGATAAAATTGATAAAATATGAATAAACAATATAAATATATTAATTGATCAAAACTTGGTTCTTAAAACATCATAATGATTTATCTGCTATGTTAAAGCTAAAACACCTCAGAGGTAGTGACAAATAGGTAAAATCACAAATTACCTCAAGAGAGGAAATCAATTCCTTGTATCTCATCACAGGCATTCAGGCATTCATCAGTTGGGTCATGATACGATAACATTTTACTAATATAAAATTTGATACTAAAAAAATTACTAAAATTGAAGCCCTTGATGCAAGGACAAAGCATAGAATCGCATATTTTAGTTTAGAAACCAGCTAAATCGACTATTAAGCTTTGGATATATCAGAAAGCCTAGTAATAACCTCGTTTTAGCCTTAATGGAAGTATCGATTCATCAACATGGTGTCAATAACAAGGAAAAACCAGATATACGTTGTTTCTACACCAAAGCATAAAAGATTATCTATTGGCTATTGGTGTAGTCTTTTGCACATCCTTTAACAAACAAGAAAGGACAAACATTATAACCGTGCCTTGTTCCTGCATATTCTATATACCAATAGAAAAAACAATATTTCCCAATGTAATAATTATGAACAGGATACTGAATTTTTTTCAAGTTCATGTAGAATACAGTTCAGACGGCCAAGTATATCATCAAAAGACTTCTGAAATAATTTGCGAAACCATATGGCATATCATCACAACTGCATTACTCAAATAGAAGTAAGAAATATAACCTACGTCTTATGCAATATATTATTTAAAAATACATTACATCAAAGAGAATAATACAAACATTATAAAACAATTGATTGGTTTAAGAGAGCCAGGTTTGGAATTGTGTGGACTTAATTCCAGTTTGGCACAGTTGGTTTTTATTTTATCCCAGTTTAAAAAAATAAATTATGATGCTTATCTGATTAGGATAGGATTACAGCATGCAGCAAGAATGTACCTGACTAGGGTTGGCCATAAGGGCATACTAACTTTACCTACTGTTACCAGTTTCTGATATACTGTCAATAGAGTGGAGAATATTAGCTGGTTTGAATTCAGCTCTTATTTAAACGGGCAACAATGAAACTTGTTATAATTGGAAATTATATAATAGATAAATTGAATTTGCCACAATAATTATAGATTAATAATTTATATATTAACAAATAGGCTATCGGAATGACTATAACATCAAAAAGGAGAGGAGGTTTTGAGTCTAACATATATAAAAAAAAAACAAGTATTGACTTAAGGACATTCCTATTGTTGGCCAATAGCATACATTGCTTTCAACAATAAAAAATAAGCATGTAGCAGTGAATTTTAAGGTAAAAATATTTTAAATGTAAACATCACAATTGTTATCAATTAGGAAATAACAAGGACAGAGATATCTGATTGTTTACAATATGCAGTTCAGACGGCCAAGTTTATCTTCAAAGAGAATTCCGACATAATTTGCGAAACCATACGGCGTTATCATCACGACTGCAATTAAATAAAAAATAACACAGAAAATGAACGAGAAGATAAATAAATTAGTTTACAGAGTAAAGTAAACCTATTCTGAGGAAATAGGCATTAATTGGAAATTCCTAGGTTTAACAACAAATTACTGCCTGGATTTTTGGACCCTGGCTCCAATATTAAGAGTGGCAAAATAAAAAATATAATATAATATAAAAAATTGATTTTTGAGTATAATGCAACCAAACGACCCTCGAATCAGTTCTGTTTCACCAGTCCAAGTGGTACATTAAGAATGTAATAATAATACACCAAGAGAGGAGAATAAAATGAACATATACTTAAGAATGTTAAAGGCACATGTCACTTTTGGATAAACATCAATCCATTATCAATTAAGATCTACATTCCATCGTGACCTATTTCTAAACTTACAAGTATTCTTCTTACCATTTAATGAAGCAACTGAGTTAATATCAACTTATTCTTACGTATAAAATTTTCCTTCATTTAACTGGAAATCAGTAGGATTGACAACTTATGAGAAGTTTATCTTCAAATAATACTTCTGTAATAATTTGCGAAACCATATGGCATATCATCACGACTGCATCAAATTAAATTGACAAATATAATTAATTGCCTTGGTCAAAACCTTAAAAAATAATATAAAAAGCTCGGCAATTAGAAAAAAAGAGACCTAACGAAATTAGGAAAAATTTAATAAAATCCCTTCAGGCATCGGGATGCAATCTCGTACTTTTTTTTTAATCTCTCAAAACTTCAGTTATCTGGTTGCCAGGTAACTCACAGTGCTGCACACACGCGTTAATCTATTTAGCCACCCCGCCTCGACCAGAGTGAAGCTACTAAATAATTACAAAAACTTATATACACGACTGTAATAAGGCACATGTGAACATAACAGCGCTGAGCTTTGGGGCTGCACTAAACCAACAAATTCCTCTTGTATACAATCTAAAATCCTTCATGAAATCCTCAATGCTCCTTACTTTGTTACAAATAAAATTATTTAAAATGACCTTAATGTTCCGTATTTTTCCGATCTGGCCCAATCCAGATACCTATCCTTCAACAATTAACTTCAGAACCATACTAATCCTCTCAAATCTAAACTTGCTTGCTTTTTCTTAGATCCCTGATGACCCTCCGAGGCGTCTGAAAAGTCCTAATTTAGAAATTTTACCAGAGTACAACCAATGGGTAGTACATGTGTTTTAATGCCGATGTATTTCTCTGCATCACATTTACTAGATGTATATTTATATTTTGAGAAGGAGTTGGTCAAATAAGTACTATCTATTAAAATACTATTTTAATAGATAGTACTTTTAAAATAGTACTAATATATATTTTAATAGATAGTACTTATTTGACCACTCTCCCTCCCCCTTCCTCCATTCCAACTCCTCATATAGTAATCACGGTCAACCATCTCTACATCATTATATTTAGTTTTATACGATTGTAAATTTCATGAATAAAAGAAAAAAAAAATACTTCTAGTCATTACATCTCATGGCAGAGGTAGGTCAAAAAACTTCAGCATGTAAGAATACGATTACAAAAATTTATTACTTTAAATCTTATGTAAGACTATATATGTAAAAAATTAATTTCAAATTCTGCTATGATAAAAATCATCCTAAAAATTTACAAAATCTATTTTCACCCCCTCCCTTATTACACCGTTTAAATCAGAAACTATGTTCTATCTAAAATTTGTTTATTATTCCTCAGGTGTACATATAAGCAGCACACTATCTTAGAAAAAAAACCTCAGAGGTAGTGACAAAAAAAATATATATCATAGAAATATCTTAATATATTAAGGTTCTATATCATTGATCCTCATCATCGGTTTAATTTGAATTCGATCCTTAATATAACTGGATCAGTAACTTAATTGTGATAGAAATTTTTTTAACTCTTAAAAATATACCATACATAGTCTGAAGGCATGAGAAATATGTGCACTAACTTTTAACATTAAAAAAGCTTCAGTACCAAGATAAACTAATTATAACTTAGGATATTTATAACTAGTTTCAGCAATATATAGAAATATTAATAATTATGGGAGAAAAAGAGTAGAACAAAATATTACATCTTATCTTCAGATTTGTCCATTCCATATGCCAGTGCTGCAGCAGTTGGCTCGTTGATAACTCTTAGGACATTCAATCCTGAAATTTGACCAGCATCCTTTGTGGCCTGCAAATTTAAAAACAATGTAAAAGAGCACGAAAAGCAATATAAAGAATAAGAAACCCAAATTATCTAGCCATGTTACATAAAATACCAATTTTACAGCATGTATACCATAAATAAAGTGATATGATTTTGACATTTTAAGTACAATTTAATTATTTGAAACATTGATGATTAAATAACAATTACAATTTGTTCTTTAATATTATACATTCAAAGTTATACAATTAGTGAATAAAATTGAAAAATTGTCAGAATGTGCAGTCAAAAATGTCTTTATTGAATTTGCCAACATTTCGACCCACAAGTTTGGGTGAAAATGTCAGAAAATTCTATAAATAAATTTTTGACTGCACAATTCTTTACAATTTTTTGTCCATATAATTTTAACAAGTCACCTATATACCCATTCATAAAAGTTAGTGAATATATAACAACATAGACCCCTGAATTGAGAAGGTTCCGGAACATGTCCTAGCAGTTCATATGATAAAGAAGAATTACTTCTTCTATTTGCTCTTGAGTTTAGCCATAGTCACACAGAAGGTTCTGTGTGCATATGAATTATTAATAATGCATATGAATATGAAAAAAAAAAATCAAAAAAAGAAATTGAAAGTTAAGAGGATTACTTAAATTTTAATCGATATTACCTGTCTTTGAGAATCGTTGAAATAGGCGGGCACAGTAATAACTGCATTCTTTACTGGAGTGTTAAGGTAGCCTTCAGCAGTTTCCTTCATTTTTGCCAAAACAAATGCACCTATTTGACTTGGGGAATACATTTTCCCATCTGAGCCCTGAACCCAAGCATCTCCATTAGAAGCCTTCACAATTTTGTATGATACTGTTTGCCTTAAAAAAAAAAAATTAAGATATGTTAAAATTTTCTTCACTTAAAAATGATATATTTCAGTAAAAAATTGATGATCCACAAGCCAGTTTATTCACGCCAAGAAAACAAAATTAAGATATTTTTCTAAATAACTTTGATTATTATATAGAGAAAGATATCTACCAGAATCAGCACCACAAAACAAGATCATGGTATATTTGAGGTTGGTATTTTTCATGTGTGTGGGTGTTTATGTGTATATATATATATATATATATATATATATATATATATATATATATATATATATATATATATATATATATATATATACATACACATGGTAGATAGAGGTTTTTGGGTGACAAACTGCAGAATTATTATGCCCAATATATATATATATGCATTTTTTTTTTAAACAAAGTTGAAGTGTAAAATGTGTTTTAAAAATACTTGAAAAAAAAAAATTAAAAATGACTTTTTAATACTATATTTTTTTATATACAATTGTTTGTTAAAACTAATCCCATATTCTATTAAGCATGAATTCTTTTACAACTTAAGACTATACTTGAATATTTATCTATTTCCTCAAGATAATGATAAAAAAACAAAACAAAATGCATTAAGCGTGACAGCACGGATGTAATATTTTTGTTTAATATGGAATATTAATGTGTAATATTTTTTTCTTAATTTAACATTAACTTAAAAATTTGAGAGAAGTGTAAAATAAGTTTTTCAATGGTGCAAAATGTTCCCGTTAATTCACCATTTTTTTCTTTTTCTTTCATTTATAGAAACCACTAACATTCTTTAAGCATGAAATTTGATACAATACTATATTTTGTACACCATATATAACTGAAATTTATATATATTTGTAACATACTGGAGAACATTTAATTGATATCATAGAACATATATATTATATAATCATACGGTTATATAACATTCCAGAAAAGATGAGGTAAGGGAATTTTTACTGATGAGATATAAAACACTACAGTTATGATCATGGAATATACTTATAGTTTTTTAAATTAACCAAAATTAAATGCTTTCAAGTTTTCACTTGGAGATTTTTTTCATTATCCACACCAACTAATTAATGAATCATAGCTAGTAGGTATGACCTTGAATGATAGTTAAATATTTTAAAGAACTGGTTACAAATTTTAAAATTCAATTTAGTAATATTTTAAAGCCTATTAAAATAATAAAAATATACATAATTCTCTTAAATTATGGGAATAAGCTGTATACCAATCACAAAAAAAATTGTATGATTACCTAAGCTATAATTTTAATTTCTCTCACAATAAAAAAAAAAATAATAAAACATTATTAAAATCTAAACTTTCTGGTCTTGTGTGAATGAATTCTTTGTTGTGTTTAGCCATTTTAAATGAATTTCTAAACTTAACCTAAATCACTGTCCAACAATGTCGGATTCAATCAATGGAATTAGCACAAAGTTTAAGACGACGCCTTATTAACTAAATATTTATTGGATGATGTAGAAGTAAAATGGACAGCTTCATGAACTTCATACAGCTGCTACGAATCTAATTATACAATGATATTGAGAACTAGTTTATAAGTGTCGATGATTGGCAGATGGATCAAGATCTAATCAGTTACACTGTAGATGGAATCTTGAAATTGGTCAAGTATGTCCAAAAGTATAAAGAGGCAAACATCTATAGAAATAATTTATAATACAGGTCTTTTAGAAAGCTTATACCTATATATTAAATGAATCTTAAAAGTACTTGTAAGCTTTCTCATTTAATGAAAAAAAAAACAGTAGGAAGGTTCGAAAAACGGTGAAAGTTAGCACTACATTCTGCAATATAGAAGCCAATAGAAGAATATACCTTTGTTAGGATAAATCCCCACGAGCAGGTAATACATTGATACCTTTCACATGCAAACTAAACTACCTTGTGTAGTTCAGTAATGTGGGGTCATTATCATTATCGATTTCCTATCGACCTTATGAATCGATTGGCATAGAGAAATTATATAGTTGTTTCTTTTCAGTGGGGATATCTTGTTAGGAAAGAATACGATACCTTCTGGAGGTTGATGTCTGGTTGGGAGTTAGACAATTTATTGCTTGTGTTAATGTTTTATAATATATATTTCTCGAGCTAATTATTAAGTTTCATTATATAGAAATATATCTAGCTAGCATGCGCATGTTATTGTTATTTATATGCACATTATTTTGATAGATTGTTTTATTAGCGAGTTCTATTATATTTATTGTTATGTAATGTTATTATATTTAGTGTAGTTAGTAGTTTATATTTATTAACGGTGTATGCAATTTAGCTTGTATAGTTCCATGCATGTTGAACAACATAATATACTCGCAGAAGCTCAGTAATTATTCATTATTTTTCCTGGCACCCGTCTTATAGGTAATTTAACAAGTGTTGCTCATTTTTAAGAAGAGCCAAGGTTTCATGATCACACTATAAATGGAATTGAGAGTATTAATGTGCTCATGGTATATACTTTCTTTATTTAGATAGTGTCTTATCACTTCAGAAAATTCCCTACTGGTCTTTTTCAGCTAAAATCGGAGTCTTAATTAGCTTTATTTACATTACTGCTTTCGATTTCCACTAAATAAAAAAAAAATAAACGAACTCCTAATAGGTCCTGATCCTTTTCAGTTGAGGACAAGGCCTGAAAAAAAAAAAGGTTGGTCACCTCCCTCTACTTCTGAATACATTTGTACATTCTCGGAATTAAATAGAGAGTGATCATGAAATCTTATACCAATGTAAAGCAGTACCAAAATAAGTATCTTGAAATAATTTAGTGATTTTATAATGAAAAGAACACATAATGGATAGCACTAATAAAAAAATAAGTAGAGTGAATTAAAAGATTTACCAATTAAAGATTTTTTTTCCTGCCATATAAAATATGATTGATCATGACCGAACTGTCAATTGGACTTAAGAACAAGTACGGTATATCACTGAAGAAATAAATCTTACATTAGAATCTATGAGTGCATGCAGAATAGTGGATCTCAACATTACCTTTTCTAGTAATTAATTAATTGGAAAATAAATATGCTACCATAGTTTCATAGGAGTTCAAATCATCCGAATGATGAATTTTAAGTTGTTAGTCAACTTTAAAACACAATTTTTGAAATGTGATACCCTATTTTCTGAATGGTGATGAAAGTGCTTCAAATGGACTTAAAAATCAGATGAAATATGCATAAATCATAGTAATAATAATAAATAGATTCAGTAATCCCACAGTTAGAAGTGGATACACAACATTGCCATATATTATAAAAATAATGGAATAATTTTGTCTCCTATAAATTGTGGGTCTCATAACCACTAAACTTAAAAGTAACTTTTTATAAACTACTCGAGATGAAAAATTATAACATGACAATATATAACAGCAGAAAATATTAATCCACGACAAAGACCTCTTTTTAATCAAATGATTAACACTCATACTTCAACTCAAAACTTTCTGAATGGTTTTAGTTTATCATAACCGATATCTTCTTTAATTGCAAAAATTCTCAATGATGGGACATTTTCAATCTGAAGATCGGTAAACTTCATTGATCAAATGAGGTACTAAAACCTTACTAACACCCATTACATTTCATCTACAATCGTAAGATAATCTGTTCACGAAATTGAGAAAAAGGGTGGACATCATTGAATTGGATCGTTTGACATGACCTGTATCTTCAACAGGTCAAAATAATATGGTTGCATAGGGCAAACAGTACCAAATTTTGTAGGTCACCTTTATTTCTCGAATTTGTGATAAAATTGTGTTATAATTCTAATGGAAAGTAAGTGGGTATTCATAAGGTTTTAATACATCAATACATTAATTAATTTAATACGAAAACAATGTTTTAAAGAATTTTTATACATAAATAAATTGTAGTTTATAATAAAATGAAGCCACTTACAAAGCTTTGTGTAAATAATTTAATAAAAAAAAGTGTCTGTACCACAGACTATATCCTATAAGAGAATATATTAGGAAATAAAAAAAATCAGCATGGTATACTCAATTATAAAAATAATTTAACATATATAAAAGCTAACCATAAGAGAACCTAAAAATTCTCTCTGAGAATAAAGTCAACATACTTACTTAATGTGAGACAATATTTCATCATCATTTTTAATCATCAAATTGAATTTCAAATTAAAATTATAAAGACAATATACTTGTAATAAAAGTAAATGTTCACATCAAAATAAATAAATGATGAACTTACATATCTTTTTTAACTTCAGCATCCTCAAATCTCCTGCCTATAAGACGTTTAGTGGCATAAAATGTATTAGCTGAGTTGGTCACTGCCTGGCGTTTGGCTGGCATACCGACAAGACGCTCCCCATCTTAAATAATAAATACATTAGGCCTACAGAATTCTCATCAACTAAACCTATCAGCAAATACTTAATCAATTAATACCTTTGCTAAAAGCAACTACAGAAGGAGTTGTTCTTGAGCCTTCTGCATTTTCAATAACTTTTGCCTGTTTACCTTCCATTACAGCGACACATGAATTGGTTGTTCCTAAATCTATTCCAATAACTGTACCCCTGACACCTTCAGATCTAAAATTAATTGAATTAATATAATTTTCATAACAGACACTAATCGATGATAAAAGAAAAGATCTATGCATACTTATGTTTCTTTTGAACATGGCGCAACATGTGCATAACTGAAGGCTTCTGAAAAAATAAAATATATAGTATTATATACAGCAAGCATGGATAAATGATGTGAATATATGCACAAATGAGCTAGATAAATTATTATTCCAAGATCACAAATAATGAGGTAATAATAAAATAGTTCAGGAAAATGATAAAGGATATACAATTTCTTCAGATATTTAAAAAAAAATAAACTCTATTTAAGATTATCATACAAACTTTAAGTAGAAGGGGTGCAACTAGAAAAATTAACAATCATCGAAGCCAAGGCATTCCAATTAAGTATCACAATAAAGTAGAAATAAAAAAATTAAACCAAAAAGAGAAATTTGTCATTAATTCAAGATTTATGAGAAATTAGTGATAGGAGTCCAAATAATTTAACAGAGTTGATTTTAAGGGAAGATTTCATTAATTCTCGTTCAAAGATTTATAACAAATAATAATTTACTGATGGGATTCTAAATAACTATATAGAGTTGAGAATAATTCATTGTAGAATTTGAATATCACAATATCTTAAAAACAAGAAATAAACTTGCACACCGGTAGATCGAGAATATTCATATATCATATTATAAGAATTACTTAAATACTTACCGTTAACCCATTATGAGGATTAACGAAATGGGATGTAACGGGTGAAATTTTGGCTAAGTTCAGCATTTCGTTTCTTTGAGATTTGCTTGGAGAATTACTACACTAACTTCACGTGTAATAAGATGATGAAATCAGAAGGGTCGAGAATCAAAAGGCCTCACACTGCGCATGCCCTCAAACCTAGCTTCTCAATAAAACTAGTATTTAGAAGCTCAGATCTTATTAATTATTATCTCTGTTTCATTAAGTAAAATTTAAAAGTTTACAAAGCATTTAAAAGCAAAATCTATTGTTTAATAAAAGTTTTAGACATATGTTGTAATACATAAAACGTCATAGCTCTTAAATATTTGTAAGGTCATGAATCCAAGAATAGAAACATAGTTCTGAATAACCTCAATAGATGGCAGAAGCTGTATTCTTTAATTATTGTAATTTTCCCTCCTCTTCTACTTTTTGCTGTTAAATTCATTTTTAAAAATATTTTATTCTATACACTTAAGTATTAGCAACTCTTAAGTAAATAGTTATCAAAGCAATTAATTACTGGTTGTTGCTTTAAATTTTCTCGGCTCTTACTAAGTTTTCTACTTATTTTACAGCATGTAGTTTGCGTATTATTAATGTGAATTGGATTAGAGAAGATGCTGGCAAAGTTGATTGCATTTTCACACAACTCATTTTACTACAATAATTTTACCAACTGCCGGCAAAGAAACCTTGAAGTTACAGTAGCGGCGTCTTGCAATATTTGGCAACAGCGCATACCACGGTGTAGCATTCAAAGGTAAGCACACGTCGTGCTTTCAAAGATCAATTATTAAATCAGTGAACTGTTTGAACTTATTTATTGAATATATGTCCATTCTTATGCTTAGTATTATCAATTGCAACTTTTTGTTTCTCAATGCCAGTTCAAAGAGTTGAATTTATCTCTTCGGTTTCACCTTTATTTACCTATTGAGTACAGTACTATGACACAACCTGGGCTAGGTGACAACGTTCGTTCCCTAAGGCAAGAGGCCATTCCAGTGCCGCTTCCGACCTCATACAACAATTATTAATACCGCACATTGATGTTTTATGGTCATATAGAAATATTTAAATATCTTATCATTGATAACGTTGTCATACTTGCAGTTCGTACTCAAACATTTTCATGCAATAATTGATCCATTTACTTGAATCAAAGAGTCGCTTTTAATGTTTCTACGTTAATTAATCTATAGAAGAAAAAAAAAACGCGAATTCTAACTTTCTAAAGGCGTGTAGATAATGAGGAGGTCCGGATCCATTATTGTTTTCACATGGGAGGCAACGATGCGATACCAAGTCACGCCACATGACTTTGTATTCCACAATGTCGCCAGTTAAGTTTAGTGCGCTCATGAGACTGGACCCTGACTTTTTCCCCCACACACAATCCCGTCATGATAGTGCGTAGGGGTGGCCTGGTACTTTTATTGATTTTTACCGGGGTGACACTGTCAACTAAACCTGTCTCCACGATGTAAAACGGGCAAAAAAAAAAAGGGACTGTTGTCAGTTGTGAAATTGTTGAATAATCTATAAACGATATTGTGAAAATAGTGTTAAAAAAGTGTATGAACTATTTAACAGTAGTGTTAAATCTAAGTGATAGTGTTTTGACTTTGAAACTGATGCGTGGCGCCGCCGTCTCTCTGTAAAAATGGCACCGATTTCAGGCTTCTCGCCCTCAAATTTTTGCAGGCGACCCAAGAAGAAAATTAGTTGACAATTATTGTGAAGCCAGTAAACACCAGGACGTCGACAAATAAGGTGGGAATTTTTCGGTTTATGCCATTTAATTATTTCATGTAAATATCACAACTTAAACTGTATGATAGGAAAAAAAGGTGCCGGTTTGGCAGGCATTTAATTTCGCTTAGTGTAACTATCTGACTTACTGTTATAACTTTCATTAGAAAACTATTCCTTTAGTATGTTTCTATGCTTAATCACTTATGTTGTACCGATAATGTAACCTAACGTAAATATTTTAATATTTGAGGTTGTGATTGAACTTGGGATAGCACAGCATAGTGGTGATGGGGGAGACAGAATGTGAACATGGCTGAAGTCAAATCAGCCTCCATGTTGTTTCTCAGTTTTCGCGTTTGTTTTAGTCTTTGTCTAGTGTTGTTCGGTTTAAATTGTTCTAAAATTATTATTTTACAGCTAGATCTTAATTAATGCATTCATTTTTAGTTGAATAACGTATTTTGAATTTTTAGTGAAGTTGTTTTGACTTGCGTAGTGTTTACTTGCTGCCTTTCTTGAGAAGTTGATTTTATTTAGAAATGAGGTATAGGCTACCCAACAGGGTTCTGTTGATTTTTAAACAGGATGGACCATACATCATGGTTAATGACTGGGAAATTAATTAGTGACTACTGTTATGATTTGTTTGTGCGTGTTTTGTGTTGTGGAGTGTTGTGCCGCCAGGACATGAAGTGTTGTATGAGTAATGTGGTTAGAAAGGCAGTCTTTCAAAACATTCTATTTTCACGTGTTTTGACAATCACAGAATGAGACAGGGACGCGGAGGCCAACGAAGCAAAAAATGTAATTTTTAAAAATTAATTCCTGTGTGACGGGGAGAAAAGTGTTAGAAATTCTCCCTTTTCACTGTTGTGCATTTGTGTTGCCAATATGAAGGCTTCTGTCATGAGAAATACTGGTACACGAAATTTTGTTATAGATTATTTGGTCCTTAGATTAACCTCCTTCTACAATATGACTTCTGTGTTTTTCCAGATAACCGCTTTTTTTCAAATTTTCATCTAAACTTGGAGCTAGGTTATGCTACAAAACCAAACAAATAGTTATGATTTTCTTCTTTGCTTCATTCTAAAGGCTTTATCTCTTTTCTTAGCATTTAACACTCAAATAATGTATGTGCTATGAATTCCAACATTTTAGTTTGTCTTAATATTTTTCACTATGATGTGACTTAACACCCGTTATTTCAAAACATTAGCTCCAAACAATTTAAAACCTAAAACAATCATGAACAAGTATAACAATGTTAAAGAATCTGTTATTTTTTAAGTATACAACACTATTTCTTAAGGTTGAAGCCAACTCACAAATGTTTTAGCAAATTCATTACTTTCCTTTGCCGCTCAGTACATGTTTTCAGTAAATATTAAGTAGTTTACACTGATATACGTTTGCTATAACTAACCTCTTATCTTTTTTTTCTATTACCCATTAATTAGTGACTTATTTTCTTTTTTAACATTTCTTTCCTTTTATCTTTATTTTATCTGTTTTCTTTATATGGTTTATGATTTTATTTTATCATAGTTCTTTAATCCTGTTTTGTTTTTTTTGCACCACTTAGGCTTTTCATTAACATTAATGTTGTTTTGGGTTTGTTTGATGCGTGTTACCTGTAAAACAAGTAATTCATGCTAGACAAGGTTATTTTTTATAAATAAGAATATTATTTGAAGTAAGTTACTTCTCAGAGTATGATTACGATGATTTTTCCTATTCGCACATTTTGTGTCTTTAGTTTATTAAGTTTATATTGTTTAGTTGTAACTTACATATCACATCGCGAGACGATAAGTGTCAATTTAGTTTTTTATTCCTATTTATTTTATTTTTTTTTAATGTGGTGCCTTAACGTTCAGTTTCTGGGTTATTTCATTTCAGTTTTTATTTGTGAATCTTATTGATTTATATTGTTTTTTACATGTCCCTTGTGCTCACCAAGAGTAGCATCTAATATTTGGCTTTCTTTCTTTGTTTTTTAGGCTGTAACCGTCGAGTCGCACCTCCTATTTCCCTACCCGCCACACTGGAGGACCCAGGGGTGTCGTGGAAGGGCCCACCGCCTGGCGACCCTAATGCCCCTTTTAATTCGGCCCCTTCTTTTGGATCTGGGCCTCCACCTCCAGGCGGTTATCAGGGTCAATTCCAGGGTCCTCCAGCAGGCTCTCCTGCTGGCTCAGGACCATATGCCCCAGGTTCTTCTACGCCTCAGTACACGGCCTCCCCTGCACCTTCTGGCTCCTCGACTCCAGGCCCGGGCCCACCTCAGTTTCCCCCTCCTCCGGCTAACTCAAGCTATAATGGTCCTGGACCATTTGGTTCTCCATCTAGCTCAGGACCAAATTTCGTAGGCCGGCCAGGTTCATCTGGACCTTTCGGACCACCTGGCGGCAATCCTCATTTTGGTGGGCCTGGAGCGCAATTTGGGGGACATCAGTTTGGAATGCCACCGGGTTCACCTTTTGGACATGGACCTCTCCCAGGACCTATTCCCGGCCATGCTATGATGCCTGGTCAAATGCCTCCTGGACCAGTCGACAGGATAGATCAGGGGTAAGTGCACATTTTACTTATGTTTATTTTTAAGTTTCTAAAAATTGAATTGATTATGATTGGATTGATACATGTGTTAATATCAGTTTCTTAATTATCTGTTGTAATTTATGGATGATTATAATTTTTAAAAAAATCATCTTCAAGAAATTAAATGATAGTTTCAGTGAATTACTGTATTTCAAATTCGCGATGGTACTAATTTGTATATTTTGTGGTTAGTAATTAAATTTTAATCAGTAGGAGTGAATATTCATATCGTGGTAGCAAAGGTCGTCGTTAATATAGATCACTTGTGTTAATTACAGTTTACATTTTTAAGAGCTTATGTGTGATATTTTTCAAGTGAGCTCAACTTCTTTTTCTTCATTGTATTTTTTTTATATTATTTACTTCATTTTTTTCTTTTCTTCAATATTTTTGTTTTTTATGATCTAAAAATTAAAAGTTCTCTTTGTCTATGTTATGAGCAAAAAATTAAAATTTGTGCAACTCATCTGGGTCGATTTGTTTTAACTTTCCTGGAATTTATTTGTTGACTCCTTGATTTTAATCCATCTTCCATTGTATCTATTTTACCAAAATATAAGTTTTTAAAATTTCTTCTCGTTGTGCTGAATGAAGAAGTATGCATTTGTCATTATTTAATTGAAATAAGTGTAATAATAAATTTTTAGTTTAGGATTTTTATTTATAAGAGACATGTTAACGTATGACTCATGTTTCACAAGCTTGTTTTATGAATTATAAGGATGTTTTATCTGTTGTCTATTTTAGAAATTTTTGGTGGCAAAATGAAGTCTATTTTTCTTTTCTGGTTGGATATCATTTGTTTGATATTCTCTTTGATTATTATGATTGTAGTAAATTTTGTTTTACTCTACTGTTTTATGCGCTGTAGTATATAAACTAAAATGCCCTGTAAGATAATTGTGAGTGAAGTGCAGTAAAAAAAAAACTGTTTTTTAAACCAAATATTGAACTAATATTTTGAAACTTTGTAATGGCGATAACCATAGGATAGTTTTTAATTTATATGTATTTCTCTTTTTTTTTTTTTTTAATAAGTTTTTCTTAAAGTATTTCTAACTTTTTTTGTTGTTACTTGTTTCATTTTATTAAGTTTTGTTTTGTGTATTCAATTATGGATATTGGTTTTTATAAATTTAGATATTTTTAAATGAATTATAGTAGTACATTTCAGAAATATGTCTTTAGGTTCTTTACTGTTAACAGTTTCATTATATTAAGGTATTATAGTAATTATTGAGTTAGGCTATTAAGAATTTAACTATTTTTGAATGACTTTTGTTAGTAAATTTTGAAAATATGTTTTGACATGTTTTTATTTGATATATATTAATTTTTTTTTCATCTAAATAGATATAGATTGATTGATCTAAGGATATTTTTTGTTCTGTTTTGATGGAATATTCTATAATTTTGTTTATTTTAATATATATAATATTAATTTTAATATTTTAAATGAATATATATATATGTATGTATGTGTGTGTGTTGAGGGAGGGGGAGGGTGTTTGATTCTGCTAATTGGTTTTTTTTTTTGTATATCTGTTTTTTATTTTTTTTTATTTGGTTTTTAATGAGTATGACAACATGGCTTTTTGTATATTTTTCAGCCAATAAAAATCCTTGGTGAATTCTTATCAGTTAATATAAACATTTGTATTCTCCTGGATTATTTTAATCCGCAGCCACATCCCCAGCTAGATACGAAATGGTTACTGTATCTAAGGGGAAGGGGAAGGGGAGAGTTTCCAGTTGCCACGTGAACGGAGCATCCGCGTAGCTCTTTCTTTTTTACCCTCGCGTAATAATTACAGCGTAGTTGCCATGGCAACGCGGGTCCCGTGCCCCCACCGATCGGTAATGTACACTCGCTTCCCAAACCAACTTTGCCCTGTTCCTCTCCTCTCTCTCTCCCTCCCTCTTGGTATTCAAATTCAGGCCATACTAGCTTTTGTTGGCGTGAAACTTCAAAAAACATAAATTCTCCGTCCTATGTCATGAATTGGAACAAATATCCTTGGATTTTTTATGTTGTTTGGTCGTTGATTTTTATTTTTTATCTTCGGTACAGATAGACAATTCAACAAAAATATTTATTGAATATTTTTATATTCAGGCATTCAATTCCGACTAAAATATTTTAGAATTAGGTTTAAACATTGCTTGGCATACGCACTTAAAACGTTCTGTTAACAAATTTATAATATTTCCTTCCTTCTACTCGTCAGATGAAGGATTTCAATCGCTCAAAACCATCTGAAGACAGCACGGGCAATTTTACAAAAGATTTTACACGCTCGAAAAGGGAGTATAGAAAGAAATGGCTGGAACACAATAATTGACTTTCAGATGTTTTTTAGACTAGTAAGGAGGTAAACATACTAAATGTGTGGGGCGCCTAGGTCACTTTTTTTCGGGTTTTCGCTTATATCAGGTAAACTATCCATCGCATCGACAATGAAGTCATATACAAAATTAAAGCTGATAAAATTTGCAATATGATTGATAATATACCTTTTTTCGCTATCTCACTTGATTTCCAAGGTATCCGTCCTCAACTATGGCTAATTGTGAGAGAAGAAAGTTTGTCTCGTGTTTATTATTGTTTTTCGAGTTTTCGCTTATATCGGGAAAACTATCCATCGCATCGATAAAGACTATAGAAATTTGAAGCTAATATGATTTGCAATATGATTGTTTATATATCTTTTTTTCGCTTAGTTCCCGAAGATGATATCCGTTCTCAGCTATCGTTAATGCGGAAAAAAAATTTTTTTTTACCTCATGTTTTTTTACTGTACTTAACTAGTTATTTTATTTATTGTACATAGAGTGTGAATGTGATCTGTGAACTCTATTATAAATGTCCTAGAGACAGATTGTAATATTTTTCAATAAATAAGTTTAAAAAAAAAAAAACACTAGTTAACTCTTGATTGCTTCGTTTTACGAATGAGTCTTGGGGAAGAAAGTTTTTAATAATTAAATTTTCTTCATGAATATATATTATTTATTATTTATTAGGTTAACAACGTCTTTGCGATCGCTCTTTTATCAATTAAGTACTGTCCAAAAGAACAGGTCCTGGGCGAGTAGAGGCTAACTTATTGAAACTTTTTTAACGAATAATGTTTTAGTTGAATATTTTAAGTTTCAGCTCTAAATTTTATTTTCATTTTCTGTGTTTAAATATTAGGAAGATTCATCGTGGGATGAAAATCACGATAAGATTTTTCAAGTTACAAGCGAATTATAGGTACAAGAGAAATAGTTTTGAATTAAAAGTAATTGTAGGTTTGCACTTTGATACAAGTTTCAGTATTGTACCATTTCAGCTCGCCTGAAATTTATAAAAGTTTTCGATTTTTTTATATCAAAGTGAGATAACTAATACTGACATATATAGTTCCTCGTAGACGTAAAATAACAAAACCTTAAGACGTTTTTCATCCCTCAATGTCAGCGAACACGTTTCACATCCATAAAGAACTGTAGATAAAATAATGGTTTTATATATTCTAGTTTTTAAGTTCTGGGACATGAGGTGCGAGCTAAGTAGATTTGGCGCAGAAAAATAACAAGCATTTCCCGCCTACAGCCTAACCTTAATCTCTTCTTCAATTTTGTTTTTTCTAGTTATCGTAGAACCCAGATACCTAAACTTCTCTACCTGTTCAAACATATTAGCGTCTATATCGATATCACCAGCAATATTGACATTTTTGCAGCTAACTATATATTTTGTCTTAATCGTGTTTATTTCGAGCCATAGTTCTTTACCGGCTTTCATTAACGTTGTATTTAGTTTTATAATTTTCGTGTCTTCTCTTAACTGGACCAGATCATCCGCATTATTGTCCCACCCAAGCTCCAACCGTTTTTCGGTACGCATTTCCTCACTAATGGCATGTTCTAATTCTAAATTGAACAGGAAAGGCGAAAGGGAATCACCATGTTTTAAACCCGATCGAATCTCAAACTTTTCGGATAAATTATTACCGATTCCAACTTTATTGAGCGTTTCCATCAAGCACATTCTAACTACTAATTTACTAATTTTGTGATATATTAATGGACAAAAAAAAAAAATGTTTACATTGAAAAATTATTTTTATAATATACCCTCGCTTTCTCCTCCAAAAGATTTCGATGAAATTTTGTGGCTCAATTTAAAAATAAAAAACTAAAAATATTTTTATATCAACATCGATCAGCTGGATGAGAATTTTTTTTAATGAATGAAGCTGTTTAAAAATATTTTTTTATAAAATTAATGGGATCTGTGATTTTCCTTCTGTACGAGGATAACCGGACAGCAACGATAGAAATGTTGCTGCAGCAGCTAAGTTAAGGATTTTAAAACTAGATTATACACTTTTGCATATAAGTTTCTTCGTTGATGCTTAAAACACCTTTTCCTTATAGGAATAACGCTGAAATCATTGCTGATAGCTTTAAATACAATATTTTAAATGTGTGTAGAAGATTTTGAAAGTAACGATAGAAAGTATAAGATTAGTTTATTCTCCTTCCCCTAAAAAATATCTGATTGATAAGTATTTGTTTAGTATAGTATAAGATGGATGCGATAGGCGGCTATCGGAGATCAAAACGGGTCAGAATGGGAGCAACTCCACGAGCGCCTGCCGATAAGATCTGTATGTAGAGTTGATACTTGACCGCCCTTTCAATTTCCTTCTTATCAAGGGATCCTCTGTTTATCCCAAGTCCCCTTTATTCACTTCCACTCTTGGATACCTTCCTTGTATTTTAGTGACTGTTTACTGGCCTGCCTAGGTCGTTGCTTCTTGTCTTTAATTCGATAACCATCTTGCCAAAATTCGAAAGATTAAATATAACTTATTCAAGCCAGAACTATAACAAAACACGTATTCCACTAATTAGCTATAATTTCCACTGACGTCATTATAGTCGGACTGACAGTCTCCTTTGAAAGAGCTTCAAATTAT